AAAAAAAAAAAAGAAGAAAGAAAGGGATTTAAAAGATTTCAAACAAATGTAACGTGAGGACCTTATTTGGAACCTGTTTCAAACAGAAAAATACATATAACTATCATATGAAAACTGGGAAATTCATATACTGGATATTTGATACCATCTTTTAGATGGAATAATTGCATTATGCTTTTTTAAAAAAGTCCTTATCCTCTGGAGATGCACAAATTATTTTCAGGTGATGTGATATGATGTATAGAATTTCCTTCAAAATAATATGGGAAGGGAGAAGTGGAGAAAACAGAGATCAAACAAGGTTAAGCTTGAGCTGACGGCTGTTGAAGCTGTGTGAGAGGACAGGGTCTTCGATACACAGTCCTGGCCATTTTTGTGCATGTTCAAAATTCTCTATAATAAATGTTTACAAAATTCTGTGCCATACTACAAATCCTAATGTTTACACTCTATAGCAAATGTGCAGTATTTAAAGTAGTCAAGTATGTTACTGTCCTCACATATGGGATCTTTAGTCTACATGACATTTAAAAAAGTGCTGAACACACACATGATTAATTCCATTTCTCAGAAGTGATCCCTAGGGAGCAGCTAAGGATGGGCAAGAAAAGACAGACGTTCCCCACCATGCAGTTCATTATAGAGAAGGTGGGAAAATCAAAGATGGATTAAATAAATCACGGCAATAAAAAATTGTTTCCCTATTTAAAAAGATATTATAGAAAAGCACCAGTACAAAAACTGTTATCAAGTTGGGCTGGGGAGAACAGGCTAAGATAGCATATTATTAGAATTAGGATTTTATCTTCTTTTTGTAAATTGTTTAAGGATTTTCTACACAATCATAGTTTGCTTTTTTCATTTCAAAATTCATACGAAAACTCATCATGAACTGATTAAATGATAAAAAGTCAATTTCACTCTAGCAGCATGATCTTACAAAAAACACATACTCATAAGAATCCCATACATGAAACTGGAAACTATAATCAAGAACATTTCAGAGAGAAGCTGCTTGGGCAAGAAACTATCATTTGAAAACTAAGTTCTCTCAGAAGAGAAGCAAGGATTCCTTAACAGGGTATGAACACAAGCCTGTTATGAGTGTACATTGCAAGTAGCTTTGGCTATGGGTCTCTGTAGGTTGTAAAGGCAGTTTAAAGGCAAATGCATACTCTGGGTAAAGGTACTATAGGTCCATAAAAGCACAGACACAAGATATTGGGGGTTAAGGTGAAAAAAGGGATTGTTAAATAGCCTCTTTCCCAGAGGACATCATTTCTTACCCACTCACTCCCTAGGACAGAAGGTCAAAAAGTATCTCAGGTTCGAATCATCACTTTGGTCTGAAGTAAGCAGCCCACTCACTACTTTAGTTACCCAACACAGAATCTAAGAATCTCACCTCATAGTCTTTCCTTGGAAGGATCTCATCCTCCTCTTCCTGTGTCTCTCCAAGGATGGTCTAGAAAAACAGATCCACATTAGGGAGACATTTTTAGTGGTTAAGAGTGGAAGGAAGCAAGCTGGGCACCATGGCGCACCTGTAATCCCAGAGGTTTGGGAGGCTGAAACAGGAGGATTGGGAGTTCAACGCCAGCCTCAGTAACAGCGAGGAGCTAAGCAACTCAGTGGGACCCTGTCTCTAAATAAAATACAAAAAAAGGGCTGGGGATGTGGCTCAGTGGGGGAGTGCCCCTGAGTTCAATCTCTGGTACAAAAAAAAAAAAAAAAAAAACAGAGAGAGAGCGGGGGAGAGAGAGAGAGAGAGAGAGAGAAGAAGGAGGCAGAAATATTTACTGAAATCTGATCAGTTGCTAGTTCTAAATCAGCTGGAGCCACCATTAAAGTGGAACAAGACCTCAAAAAAACCTTTTAGGATGAGGAGTCATGTGGGTAGAGAGCTAGTCATCCAGCTGAGTTCTTCATTTCTATTGATACATTCTCCAAATAACCACTGGCATTTTTAGGACACCTCAAAGATGTCCACTGCCAGCTTAGAGGTGGGGGCGGAGGATTCAGGCTCCATCTGACAATGCACTGAACCTGAAATCAGAAGGACCTCTCCAAGTAGCCAGGATACTACAATTGGGAAAATGTTAGACTAAAGAAGTAACCTGTCAACTCTGGGGACACGACAACTCAAGTTTCACCTGGTTGCTTTGCAGGGGGAATCTGGATGTACTGTGACCCAGAAAGGGTGAGAGAGAATAAAAAAGGGCTGGAGAAACTAAACCGGCTGTATGATGCGCACAAAGTCCTGTGGAAGGGGCTCATTCTGAACAGGCCTGTTTCATTAAAAAATACTTTCAGATGACAATAAAAGAAAATACACATGAGATAATTGGAGTTGGCCTGGATTCTCCTTCAGATTCCAAAGAAGGGTTATGAGAAAAGCTCTGCACATTAAGCAGGGCAGATGCTTCCCGAGCTCAGGCTGCGGTCCCTAGGCCCCACCCGCTGCCACCTGCGGGCCCATTTCGGCTCGGCCCCACCCCCGGCAACGCCTCTCGGCATCCCTTAGCAACCGCCCCCTCCCCAGCCCGGCCCCTCCCGCTTCTTACCAGCTCCTCGGGAGTGCGGGTCTCACGCTCTCCGCAGCAGCAGCACCACCTGCAGCAGCAGCACAGGGACCCCCTGCACCCCGCCATCTTCCTCCTTCGCTGCCACTCCGGACCACTCTGCCAACCCCCCTCCCACCCAGGATCCACGCCTCACGTGACTGGCCCCGGGAGGGTCACGTGGCCTTCTCGAGCTTGGGGACGGAGACTGGGAGTGGCTGCAGACGGGTGGGGCGAGAGCCCGCGTCACATGACGGTAAAGGGACGGCTTCCAGCAAGACCTCTAGGCGCGGCCATCTTGGAGGCGGAGCTTCCGGTCGCTGGCGCCAGCGGTTCCGCCCTCGCGTCCCTCCTCCTTGGCAACCGACGCCCGCGCCCCGCCTCCTCCACGAGCAGCGCCGCGGCTGCCAAGCTACTGCGGGTCGACGTTCCAAGACACCAGAGACCCGCGGGTGAGTGACGGCGCGGCCGGGGTCGCCCGGGAGGGGAGGCCCCGGAGCCCGAGACACCCCCGGGACCTGCGTGGAGGCAAGGAGCGCTGGAGGCCGCCCGTCCCTTCCGCGCGCCCCCTCCGCGGGACTCGTGGGATCCCCGGTGGCTCCCAGCGCAGCGACCCTAGCTCTGAGGCGAAGACTTGCTTTCAGGGGGGACCCTGGGATGGAGGGACCCGGAGCCAGGAGACATCCAGGTTCCTGGGACCGGCCTGGCCCCGCACCCCCGCCAGTGACCCGGTGACTCTATTCCCGTCACTCAGGCCACTCGGCACCTAGGCGGCTTCCAGTCCTGCGGACACCTGCAGAAGCAAGGGACTAGCGCCGCAGTCTGGGGCCCACTGCGTCCTGCTGCGCAGGGACGTCCACCGCCACCCTCTGGAGTAGTGGGTTTCGTATCCTGCTGCTGGGCACAGTCTGAATGCTCAGTAAGTGGCAGAGGGGTGTTTTGAGAATGGAGGGAGGACCTGGTCCGTTGGTGTGGCTTGTGACTACTGTGCGCCAGTCCCTGGGGATGCCATAGGCAAGATACCTGGTCCTGATCTCAGGGAGCTAGGGGTGTGTCAGTGATACCGCCAGTTATCGGTGACGAAGCAGGCCGAGGCAAGCACAGAAGCAGGGTTTATTAAAAAGGGGGTAATATAGGCTTCTCCCGGGAGGGAGAAGGGGGCCAAAGCTGGTATCCCAAGAAGTGAAGTGTTCTGCCCTTTTTATATGTCCTAGGATTCCTTTGTTCTCCTGTCTTTCCCCCCCTTATCTTTCTTCTTCCTGACTATGTGACTAGGCCCAGGAACTGTTCGGTGGGATGGCCAAAAGGTGGGAAATAGGAGGGATGAAGGGGGAAGGGCAGGATGGAGTAGACAACAGCCTTGTAGCTCCCTGTAGGGAGGGGAAACTCCTGGGACAGGTTACTTGGCAACTGGTTGGAGCAGGGGCAGGTTCTTGATAAGATCCCTCAGGGGACAGTCTCCAACTTCCCAGACTCACTCAAAATTGGCCTCCTAGATCTGACCTGACTCGATTTACCTATCTACACTGACTGCCTGTCTAATTCTGGCTTCTTCAGTCAGCTTTTTCACTGTTGTGACCGAAAGACCTGACAAGAACAATTAGAGGAATTTTGGCCTCACAGTTTCAGAGGTCTCAGTCCAAAGTCAGCTGGCTTCATTCCTCCGGGCTCCAGGTGAGGCAGAACAAGGTAGTGGAACAGAACAGAACAGAACAGAAAGGTATGGTGACGAAAAGCCACCCAGGACGTGATCAGGAAGCAGAGACTCCACTCACTGTATATAAAATACATACCACAAATGCAGGCCCCCAGTGGCCCACCTCTTCCCATCACACCCCTACCTGCCTTCCTTACCCTCCAGTTATCCCTATCAGGGGCTTAATGCACTGATTGGGTCAAGGTTCTCATGACCCAATCATTTCGCCTCTAAGCCTACTTGCTTGTCTCACACATGAGCTCTTGGGGGACACCTAGTACTCAAGCATAACAAGGATGAAGGACGGAGACAAACCTGTTACCTAGGTGCTACAGTGGGAGTTGGCTGAAGGAGAGCATCCCATGGCATGTGCCTGGCATATACTAGGAATGCAGTTAGTGTAAAGAGCAGATCGGGGCTGGGGATGTGGCTCAAGCGGTAGCGCGCTCGCCTGGCATGCGTGCGGCCTGGGATCGATCCTCAGCACCACATACAAACAAAGATGTTGTGTCTGCCGAAAACTAAAGAATAAATTTAATAAAAATTAAAAAAAAAAAAGAGCAGATCATTTGCAAATACTCCAGCTTCCTCCCTCCTCTCCAGGTTGGGTTCCAGCAGCAGTAGATAAGGCCCTCCCTCCCGTGACTGCCAGCCGGCTGCTCTGCCATCCCCCCTTCCTCACTCCCCACTGAGAATCTGGAGATTCAGGTCGGAATCAGAATGAGCATGTCGGTGGGGGGACGGGACAACATTCCCTAGAGTGACCTGTGTGTGTGTGTGTGTCCCATGCTCATGTGTCTCAGGAGCAGAGCAGTGATTTCACCAGGTTCTCCAGTCCAGGATCCAAAATGGTTGAGTACACCAGCTTAGGGGTAGGCATTCCTGAAACCTGGTCATTCGTGTCGCTCCATGTCACAACATACCAGTGTCACCATTGGGTGTTTATCCATTGCTATGCAAGAGTAATGTTTTGTTTCATTTTAAAATATTTGTCTCATTTCCCCCATTCACCTGCCATATGGCACGGTGCCCTGTTGGCCTGCCTGTGGTTGCCCTGGCCGTGGCTTTGAATGTGGTGGCTCTGCAGTCACCGATTGCTTGGACTTCAGTAGTGTGCAGGCAGGCATACAGCCTTTGTTCTGAGTTGGAAATAAATTCGTGTCCTTATTGAACCTGGGTCAGGCTCCTTTTAGAATAAAGCCAATGTCAGGTTCTAACCCACAACACAGTTTTGAAGTAACATGAACTCGGGAAATCCAGCTGCCTCAGCCCCGGCTCCTTCCATCTTGCCCACAAACTGAAACTGTAACAGGAGATGTTCCAGGCAGGGCCAGCCCAGCCAGCCAAGCTGTTCCTTCTTTGGAGGGGGATCCCGTGACCCTGAAGGTCTGGGGCCTCAACGCCGCCACCCCCAGCCTTCTCCAGCCTGAGCACTCTCCTTCCGAGGTCCCCCTCCTCCATCCGCCTTCTCACTGGCGCCTCAGCTCTCCCTGGAGCCTGGAAACCTTGCCCCCGCCCCTTGAAGGCCCAGCTTAGCGCAGGGCTCTTCCTTTGTCACAGCTCCGCCCAGCTGGGCATACCCGCTAAGGGAAGGTTCCTCTGTTCCTGTCCCTCCTCACTCTGGGTCTAAGCTGACAGAAATGAAACATTGAAAAGCCAGAGTCCTCCCAGCTCGGCTCCGCTGCCGCTCGCTAGAAATGTGGGCATCAGAGGCTGGCAGCATGAGGTGGTCTGTGCCACCCTCCATCAGGTAGCTGTCACCAAGGGTTTCAGTGTGGGGTGGGGGTTGTCATGCCGGGAGCCAGGCAGGAGCAGAGAGCAGAGCTCTGAGTGGGTCAGCGCAGACAGTGACTGTGGAGCCTGGAGTCACAGGGCAGGGGCAGGGGCAGGAGCAGTGGCAGGGGCAGCCTTACCCGCCTTCCTTCCTCCCTCGCTTGAACCTGCACTCAGGTGCCTGGATGTGCCTGGCGCTTGGCTGCCCGCCTTCTGAGACCCCCTGCCCCACCCTGTGCAGCAGGAGACGGGCCATGGAGACCCGAGGACTTGGTGGCCCCACCCCCCCCTCAGAGGGCAGCAGCAGTGGCAGCGAGAGCTCCAGAGATGGTTCGAGGTGCTCCACCCCCGGCCTGGATCCCGAGCGGCATGAGAGACTCCGGGAGAAGATGAGGCGGAGGATGGAATCTGGTGACAAGTGGTTCTCCCTGGAATTCTTCCCTCCTCGAACAGCCGAGGGAGCTGCCAACCTCATCGCCAGGTGAGCTGCTGGGAGGCTGGGCTGAGCGGGAGCTGTCAGCCCGGCTGTCTGGGCTGCACTTTAACCCGGCAGGAAAAGGCAGCCAGAGGGGGCAGAAGAGAGCAGCGGCCAGAGAGGCTGTTTTGATCTCTGACTTCTCAGCTGTCTGAATGTCCCTCCCCAGCCTCAAATAATTTTAGACACACTCCCCAATGGGTTAAAAAAGTTGATTCTCTCAGACTACATGTTTTGGCAGATTTTGGGGCTGGATCATGAGTGCTTTAGGAAGTCACAAAGCAGCAATTTAGAGAATGTTTTCAGCAAATTGGAAATTGGGATTATGTTTCTCAAGCTAGCAATGCCAACTTAATTATGCTAGCACTTTATGAATTCAGTTCCTTTTGTAAATGTGTGGCTTTTACTGTTTGCACTTCACATGTGTTGCTCCAAGGTTATGAGGTTTAGAGATAGAAAGATGTTTAATTACACTGTCATAGGTTGTGACACGGGTGCCCGTGCAGGCTTCTAGTCTGCTTTGGGCACTCGGCCTTGCTCTCCAGGACTGCTGGCTGCTGTCCTGTGGCCAGAGAGGCAGCACAAAAGCATCTTGTGCCTGCTGACCCTCTTTTTCCTGTTCCTAGAATGAGGCTTTGCTTGCCACTGAGAGCCTCCTTACTCCTGACCATCCAAACGCCTAGAGTCCCCAAGATGGCTAGGGTGGCTGCGTGGCACACAGTGCTGACGCTTGCTGAGGGCTTGCTGTGCACTCCAGGCTCCCACTGAGAGCTATGGAGCTGTTTGCCATGTTTCTCAGGGGGCTGTTATGAGTAGGTAATGTCACCTGCAACATCTAAAAAGTGAGGAAACTGAGGCTCAAAGAGATCATGTCATTTGCCCAGGATCATATGGCTTTAAGTGACTATGGGGGAGGTGAATGCAGGCTGCTCTGACTCCCAACTTGCATGCTGTGCCTCCTCAGCTCCCAGGCCCCATGGGGAGGTGGTAAAGGGTGTGCTCCCCCAGGAACACCTTTTTAGAAAGAAATCCCCTACAGGTTTGACCAGATGGCAGCAGGTGGTCCCCTCTTCATTGATGTGACCTGGCACCCAGCAGGGGACCCTGGATCAGACAAGGAGACCTCCTCCATGATGATTGCCAGTACCGCTGTGAACTACTGTGGCCTGGAAACCATTCTGCACATGACCTGCTGCCGGCAGCGCCGGGAGGAGATCACGGGCCATCTGCACAAAGCCAAGCAGCTGGGCCTGAAGAACATCTTGGCGCTAAGGGGAGGTGTGGAGCCAGCATTCCCCTCCTCTCTGGGTTCTTGCTTTCCCAAAGGCCTCACCTGTCCCTGGAGCAATCCTTTATTTTCCCTGGGGCCCATCCTGAGCATCTCAGGGCTCCTCCTTGCCCACAGCCTCTGGGCATTGTGGGCAGTGAGTTCACATGGGCACTGCACAAACATGGCTGCCTCTTGCATCTCCCAGCTGGTTATAGGAATCCAGGCGGGAGAGCCGCTGGTGCCTGATAACACTCTGTCCTGCTGCACAATTCTGTCAATCGCTGGCTGCACCTGGTCCAGTCACAGAACACAGTCCTGGCATTTGGCCAGGAGCACCTACTGTCATCAGGTCACCCAAGAACAGGAGGAGGGACCCTGATGGTTGGGAGGAATCTTGTGGCCTCATGCTCCCCATCACAGGACCACTTCTCACTTGAGATAGACAGGAAACAGAGCTTCAAGAGAGCAGGAGGCACAGGAGAGGATGCTCATGCACACTGGGCAGCAGGGCCAGGCAAGGGACCACTGTCCTCTGTGCTCAGTGGAGAGCGGCATGCAAAACTCACAGGAAGTCGGCACTTGGCAGACATTGACAGCTGGCTGCTTTCCTCCTCCACCACGCGCCAGGAGCTAGGCACTGCGCAGCCTCTGCCTTTGGGAGCTCACAGCCCTGGGTGTCAGGGTAGTTAGAGGGAGCAAAAGGCTCTTTGGAAGTCAGGCAAGAGCTGCTGACCATGACCTCTACCAACCCTGCAGACCCCATAGGTGACCAGTGGGAAACTGAGGAGGGGGGCTTCAGCTATGCTGCAGACCTCGTGAAGCACATCCGAAGTGAGTTTGGGGACTACTTTGACATCTGTGTGGCAGGTGAGTGGCTGGAGCATCCAGGTGGGTGGGGAAAGAGAGGGAGGCTAGAGAGCCCGGGTTCAGGACAGCACTGGTTGAAGGACGTGCAGAGGTGAATTCCATGGCGTATTTAGCTTATCCTGTTACCTGCTGCCCTCCCAGGCCTGCCACTACCCCTGAGCTTTTGTCCCTCTACTTTGCATGCTCCCAGCCTGCTCCCCAGCCCTCTACTCTACAGTGAAAGAGATTTATTATGAAGACTCCAGGGGGACAAGGACTCCTAGAACCCAAGTTGAGGAAGTGGCGCCAGAATTCACAAGGCACTGGAACCTGGTCAGGAACCAGCTCTTCAGGGGAAGCTGCAGGGCTCCCATCTCTGCTTCCTCCCGTAGATCTGGGGGTTATGCATATGACCTGATTCTGAATGTATGAGGTGTCATTTCCAACCAGTGTCCCAGACTGATTCGCAGGTCTCAGGGTCGATTCCAAAATCCCAGGAGAGGGAGTGGGATTGGTTCAACGGAGGACAAATACCATGGCCCCTCCACCCCTACTTGCTGGAATTGGGCCTTCAGCTTCTCAAACAGGGATCAGGTATGGTGAGGCCATTTTGGCCAGGGACACAAGAGGTCCCTGGATTGATTTGGGATGTCTCAAATTTTTTTTGGAAAATAATGCTTTTTTGGGGGGGGGAGGGGTATATTGAGGATTGAACACAGGGTGCTCTACCACTGAGCTCTATCCCCAGCCCTTTTTATTTTTGGAGACAGGATCTTCCCAAGTTTCTGAGGGTGGCCTTGGACTTTTAATCCTCCTGTCTCAACCTTCCAAATTGCTAGGTTTACAGGCGTGAGCCACCACACCTGGCTAAATCAAACCATACTTATATTATTAACCTAAGCATGGCTGTGCTATGGAGTAACATCTCAAATAATCTGAATTTTTAAAAAATAGGCTATGTGGCTTTAAGAAAATTATTTGTTGCAGGTGACTTGGGCTTTTCTCTGGTCGCCCACATGAGTCCCTAGGGGGTCCCTAGGCAGGCATGACTGGGAAGCCCTGATAAGGAGTTAAGAAGAGAAGAGGCATCTCCAGCTGTTCCTGGTCACCGCTCCCCAGCTCTAATGCTGACAGTGACTGGGCCCGCGCTTGCGCACTGTCGCTCTGTCGTGGGTGCTGGCTGATCATGGTGGAACTACAAAGCCGCAAGTGTACAGCCGCCGAGTGGCTTTGTGCTTTGCTGATCATCAAGCGGGTGACAGGAAGACCACTGGGTCAAACAGCCCCAAGCTGCTCACAGTAGAGAGAGAATGTGGTAAAGTGAGCAAAATCCCAGTGTCCCCAAGTGCTGGGTTTGGTTGGTGATACACTGCTTTATAGCCATGTGGTTTTTAAATTTCCTACTGGAAAAGTAGCTTTGCTATTGAAAGTATCCTCTTGCCCCTTTACTCCTTAAGACAACAACTTTTCTTTGGCTTTTTCCTTTGGTTTTGTGTTTTTCAGTTCTGAGGGTTGAACAGGCATGCTCTGCCCCTGAGCCACTTCCCCGCGCTTCCTATTTTTTATTTTGAGGCAGGGCCTTACTAAGTTGTAGGGGCTGGCTTCAAACTTGTGATCCTCCTGCCTCAGCCTTCCAAGTAGCTGGGATTACAGATGTGCGCCACCGTGCCCAGGTTTTATGTCCATTTTTGATGACTCTGGGTTGCTTCAGAAACAGGACTGCTTATCACAGCAGAGCAGTGTGGCTTCCCAACAGCCCAGGTCCCTGATCTGCTCCCGGCTTGGCTCAGAGTCCTGCCTTCTGGTTGTAGGCTGCTAGCCAGTGCAGTCATGTGGGGAAGGGGTCAGTTCACAGAACTAGTAGGGATCCCAGAGGGCATCTGGTCCCACCTCACAGGCAATTCAGAACCCCACCTTTTGCACACTCAGCATGTGGCCTTCCTGCTGTCCCAATATGTTCAGACCCAGGAGCTAGTTGCAGGGCTGACATGGGTACTGGTTCTGCCATCAGAAGCAATCAGGATGATACAGAGCTCCACTCAGGTGAATCCTTTTCCCCACAATGGACTTTAGACATGTGAAAGTCACTACTGTGTTCTCTCTTCACTTCCTAAAGTGAAACTGGTCTACTTTTTTAAAATTCTTCATTAGGTTTTCGTTGCTGTGACCAAAATACCTGACAATAACAGTTTGGAGAAGGAACAGTTTACTTGGGCTCATGGTTTTAGAGGTTGCTCTGGCTCAAGGTCATGGCAGAACATTATTTAGAGACAGGGTCTCACTGAGTTGCTTAGCGCCTCTCTTTTTGCTGAGGCTGGCATTGAACTTTCGATCCTCCTGCCTCAGCCTCCCAAGCTGCTGGGATTTTAGGCGTTTGCCACCCTGCCTGGCAAAAACAATATTTTTTACAAAAGTCAAGCCCAGAACCCCAGAAGCTGCTCAGCCAGTGCTGAATGTGACACCTGTGCTCCGTGGCCACAGTGCAGGCTGATTTGCTTGGCTGGTTGAGGCATCCGGAGCAATCCACCCCACGCCTTGGACACAGTGACTGCAGGCTGCCTCCCATGAGAGTCATCTCCAGGGTTGGGGGCACATCATTCGTGACCCAGCTGCCCACATCACCTGTCCACACTGTGCTGTTGGAAGGTGCCAGTGCAGAACGAGGCCAGGGACTCTGCTCCCAGGGGCTGTGGTGTCTCCACCATGCACCTTGAGCAGGTACAGGCCAGTCCCTTCCTACACTTGTCCCTTTTGGCAGGTTACCCCAAAGGCCACCCAGACGCAGAGAGTTTTGAGGACGACCTGAAGCACTTGAAAGAGAAATTCTCGGCAGGCGCCGACTTCATCATCACCCAGCTCTTCTTCGAGGCCGACACCTTCTTCCACTTTGTCAAGGCCTGCGCTGCAACGGGCATCACCTGCCCCATCCTCCCCGGGATCTTCCCCATTCAGGTGAGGGTCCAGGGAGCTGTCCCCCGGCACCCACCGTCCCAGCACAGGCCAGGGCTCTGGGGAGGGCGCTGGCTTCATGCTCTAGTTTCTCCGTGCTGCTCCTGGGCTTCCCATCAGACAGCCTGCCTGCCTTGCCCAGGGGTGTCTGGCTGCCTGGTTTTGGTTGCCTCTGACCCCACGCCCCCTGCAACAGTGCCTGTCAAGGGTCCTGCTGTGTTGTGACCTACTGACAAAAGGGATTATAAGTCATAAATTTTGCTAAAGTCCGTGTTCCCCAGAGTCGGCTGTCTTCGGATCCATCGGATAAGCTTTTCCCACAGCCAGGTCCTAGGCCCGCTCAGGAGTTCTGATGTCACAAACTTGGTGTGGGCCTGGGAATCTGCCCTTTATTTCTTGGGAGTGGCTGGGTTCGATGGCCACTGTGTTATCACGTCTTGAGCTCAAGGGCTGGCCAGGCTGGTGGCAGGAATGCTGTGGGCAGCTGCTGAACTCTGCAGAGAGTGGAGGAAGCGGGGCAGGCACACCCTGCCGTCCCTCAGCATGACGCTGCAGTTGTCGGAGGCCTGGTGGGGGCTGGGAAAGGGGAGAGGGGTATCGGAGGGGTGGGCTGGGAACTGACCCCACAGCCCCGTGTGTCTTGGACAGGGCTACTCCTCCCTCCGCCAGCTCATGAAGCTGTCCAAGCTGGAGGTGCCGCAGGAGATCAAGGATGTGATCGAGCCCATCAAAGACAACGATGCTGCCATCCGCAACTACGGTATCGAGCTGGCCGTGAGCCTGTGCCGGGAGCTTCTGGCCAGTGGCCTGGTGCCTGGCCTCCACTTCTACACTCTCAACCGCGAGGTGGCCACCACAGAGGTGCTGAAGCGCCTGGGCCTGTGGACTGAGGACCCCAGGTGAGGGTGGAGGCTTGGGGAGACCCAGGGAGAGTCAGAGCGGTATCAGGGCAGAGCGGCCCGTGGTGGCGCAGAAGCCTTCCTGCACCACGGCTGCCCTGGCTCACACTCCTCAGAGAGCACCCTGTGTAGCTCAAGGTTCATTTTCTTATATTTTTGTGGTACTGGGGACTGAACCAGGGGTGCTCTACTGCTGAGTTAGACCCCCAGCCCTTTTTATTTTTGTTTTGAGACAGGGTCTCACTAAGTTGCCCAGGCTGGCCTGGAACTTGTGATCCTCCTGAGTCAGCCTCCCGAGTAGCTGGGATTACAGGTGTGTACCACCATGCCTGGCCTCACTTTTAGTTTCTAATACAGTAAATATGGATAGATTGAAAAGAGCCACATAACCATAGGCTCTTCAAGTCTTCAAGAATTTTTGAGTACAGGGTGATAACACCACACCAGTTTGGTAACTCTGACACATTGGTTGCATAAATTCAACTACACTCCTCAAAGGGGTTATTTGACACTCCATGCCTGGTACAAATGGTTTTTTTGATTTGAGACCAGGTCTCACTATTGCTGTTGCCCACACTGGCCTCAGAACTCCTGGGCTCAGATGAGCCTCTGCCTCAGCCTCTGAGTGCTGGGACGCCTGCAGCTGCCCTGGCTAGAGGTCTAGAGCCAGGTCTGAGAAGCCAGGTTCAGTGCTGCGCAACCTCCTCCTGCTCCTTACGCCTGTTCCTTGTCCTGTCTGTGTCTATCCTCACCAGGCGTCCCCTGCCCTGGGCTATCAGCGCCCACCCCAAGCGCCGGGAAGAAGATGTGCGTCCCATCTTTTGGGCTTCCAGACCAAAGAGCTACATCTACCGCACCCAGGACTGGGATGAGTTTCCCAATGGCCGCTGGTGAGCCCCTGCAGACGCTCCTGCGGGAGATCCTGTGCCCGGGAGGAGCCGGGCAGGACTCACAGGAGTGTCCTCCTGGGCACGTGGTGGCACCTTCCCTGCCAGGAGCCCGGGGCAGGGGGGTGCCCTGACCTTGGGGCACCTCCCTGCCAGGGGCAACTCCTCCTCGCCAGCCTTCGGGGAGCTGAGGGACTACTACCTCTTCTACCTGAAAAGCAAGTCCCCCCGGGAGGAGCTGCTGAAGATGTGGGGGGAGGAGCTGTGCAGCGAGGAGAGCGTCTTCGAGGTCTTCGCACATTACCTCTCCGGGGAGCCAAACCGGCACGGCCACAAGGTGAGCAGAGGTGGGGGGGGCCCTGTCCCCAGCCGTAGGCCAGATCATGGACTTGGACTGCTCCGACCTATGCCAGCCCCTGTCCACACGGTGGGCACGGAGCCTCAGCAGGGGGAGGAGGGCGAGTTGGGGAGGGGCTGCCAGCCCAGCTCACCCTCCCTGCCAGGTGACCTGCCTGCCCTGGAACGACGAGCCCCTGGCCGCTGAGACCAGCCTGATGAGGGAGGAGCTGCTGCGTGTGAACCAGCGGGGCGTCCTCACCATCAACTCCCAGCCCAACATCAACGGGAGGCCGTCCTCTGACCCCGTCGTGGGCTGGGGCCCCAGCGGGGGCTATGTCTTCCAAAAGGTACAGTGGAGATGCCCAGGCTGCCCCACTCGGCCAGCACCCCCAGGTTCCCTGGAGGTTGGGCACAGCTCTGGTCTTTCTCTCCTGGGCCTTTCGTTTTGAAAGACAGTGGACAGAGTGGCCAGGTGCTGACACTTCCAATCAGCCAGCCCTGGGCAGCCGGACCCCTGGCCTCTCAGCCTTCACTTCTGTCTTCTGTAATGGGATGTATTTCATGTTTTGGGTCAGAACTCGATAAGCATGGAAAGGAAGGAACATGGGAATGGCCACTCACAGGGAGCTGCTGCCCCGAGGCCGGGTGGGCAGCTGCTAGAGTTAAACTGCATTCTGAGCTGCAGCCCGTGGGCCCTGGCCCTGGCCCTGGGCACCAGCTCTGCTGTTCGCTGTCAGTGTAGGCAGCCCAGCCAACTTCCCCAACACTAACTAGCTCCTTGGGGTGAAGTGCCCACCTGACAGTGTTACGAACTTTTTAGCTCAGTGACTGGGAAGGGCGAGATGGATCAGGCCTCTGCCACCCCTTAGCTTGGTAGTGGGTAAACCTCTGTTCATCTCCAGATATGCTTCTCCCCAGTGGCTGGACAGGTGGCAGATGACCCTGGATCTTCCCCAACTGAAGCCTCGTGTGCTAGTCCCCTCCACCTCCAGCTTCACCAGCTCCGCATTTCACACTCAGTTACGGGGCCACCTCCAGCCCTGATGCCCTCAGTGTCTTGTGCACATGTTGTGGGGCCCCTCTCCAGATGGGCAGGGCAGGCTGCAGACACGGAGCATGCCTAGCAGCACCGGCCAAGGGTGCCTGGCGAGAGGGGGTTTGCATGATGGGCGCCCACCTCCCACAGGCCTACCTGGAGTTCTTCACTTCCCGCGAGACCGTGGAGGCCCTTCTGCAGGTGCTGAAGAAGTACGAGCTCCGGGTCCACTACCATATCGTGGACGTGAAGGTAGGCCTGCCCACCTGGAGCAGTGCATATCACTAGCGTGGCCAGGCACCCTGCGCAGGGCAAGACACAGGCAGACCTTGGTGCAGGGCGCCCATCCTGGGAGGGAGACAGACACATGGTGATGACAACTCAGTGCAAGGGAGAGAGTGAAGCTCTGTAGGAGGCTGAGGACAGAGGAGGACGTCAGAGCTAGGAGGCCAAGGAAGGAGTCCGGGAGAGGTCTGTGGCCCAGGTCCTTCAAGACAGAGGACTTGGCCAACAGGGAGTAAGTGTCCAGGGAAAGCGCAGAGGATGTCAGAGGTCAAGCTGCACCATCTTGGGAGATGCTGGGCACAGGGCAAGGGAGGTGCAGCAGAGTCAAGTAATCCCAGGGGTACTGATGGTCCTGCCTGGAATCTGGGGTTCCCTAAAGGCAGGTGGGGGTCTTCCTCCAGTGGTGGAGTGGCTTGGCTGAGCCCCCCGTACCACTTCAGGCAGGTCACGGTGGACAGCTGTGTGGCTAACGGGCAGGAGGCCAGAGCCAGGGGTGCTCACCAAGGCCTCTGTGGTGGTCCCAGGTGGGAAACAGACCGCGTGGCATTCAGAAGTGGCACACAGCGCGAGCGGTCAGGCAGCTGGGCACAGAGGCTGCCTGGAGCAGTGAGGAGAGGAAACTGCCCAGGACAACTCTGGGTTTCGGGTTGGCAGGGACAGCAGTGCCACTCAGCTGCGGGCAGGAGGGGCAGGTGGAGGCGCGGTGGGGTGCTAAGCCCAGAGCAGTCCCAGGAGCTCGAAAGCCTCGTGCAGTAAAGGGCTGCAGATGCCCAGATCTGCCTCCCTGACTCAGTGCCCCTTCAGGGTGAGAATGTCACCAACGCCCCTGAACTTCGGCCCAACGCCGTCACATGGGGCATCTTCCCTGGGCGGGAGATCATCCAGCCTACGGTGGTGGATCCTGTCAGCTTCATGTTCTGGAAGGTAAAGGAGTGGGGGACGGGGGCGGGCCTGCCTTGCCCTCCTTGAGGACCCTGGGCAGGTGGTATTCCCTATCCCAAGTGTGGGGCTGAAGGCCACACCCCCAGGGCCAGCCGACTTGGCCTTCAAGGCCACATGCTCACACATGTTTACTTCTGAGCCAGGCGGGAAGGATGCCCTTGGAGTGCTGCGCAGGGGTCCCTGACCCAAGGGCAGCCCTGTTGACCTTGCCTGTGTGTGCGTGTATGTGTGTGTGTGTGCGCGCGCGCGCACACACCCTCATGTGCATGTGTAGGATGAGGCCTTCGCCCTGTGGATCGAGAGGTGGGGCAAGCTATATGACGAGGAGTCCCCGTCCCGCATGATCATCCAGTACATCCACGACAACTACTTCCTGGTCAACCTGGTGGACAATGAGTTCCCGCTGGACAACTGCCTGTGGCAGGTGGTAGAAGACACATTCGAGCTGCTCAACAGGCCTGCGCAGAGTGAGAGGGAGTCAGAAGCTCTATGACCTTGCGTCCTGACAGCCATGGATTGGCTTGGCCACTGGTATCCAGCCATCCCCCCGCATCCTGGTTCTCCTTTATCCAAAGCCTGGGCCTCTTCACCCCCCTGATGATGGCGACTAGGCTGATGTGAGGCTTCCAGGCTCTGGCTGGATCTGAGGCAGTGGCACAGGGGAGCCTGGTGCTCCCTGGTCTAGCCAGGGTCAGGGTCAGGGTCAGTCTCTGGTGAGAGCACTGCCATCCTGCAGGGGAGCACGGTGGTGCACACCATCTCCCTGAGGAAGCGGGAGACTGGTGGTTGCATCTGAGCCCTCACACCAGGAGAGCCTGTGGATCCAGCTGGGACTCCAGTGAACTTGTACTTGGGCCTGTGTAAGATGGGCAGAGAGACCACGGGTGACAGGTACTGTGGCATTGAGGACACTTGGCTAAGTGAAGGGGCTGCACCCTTGCACCTCTAGATGCTAGCAGCAGCCCCACCTGTGATTATAGGGGAAGACCTCGCACATGGCAGGCCACGCCAGGCCCTGGACAGCCTTGGCCGATCCCTGACGACCAGGCACTGCCGCTCTTGACCTCCTACTGTTTGAAACCCTTGTCTGTGTTCTGAGGGCTTGAGAAACAGTGCCCTTGAAGGGTTCAAGTCTGTCCTAACCCTTGTGCTTTCTGGGCCCGTTGCCTTCTCTCCTGTCCCACTAACTGTCAGAGGCAAAGATGAGACGCCTGAGCAGGCCACGGTCTCCCTGGCTTATTTTTAGGCAAGTGCTTCTCCTGCCAGCTGCCCGCCCTCTGCTCACCCTGGCCCAGAAGCCACACTGGCACTCCTGCCCAGCAGCCAGCCCTGGGGCCACATTCCCTGGGGCAGTGCCTGGCAGGCGCAGATGGGCTGCCCCCTCCATCCTGGGCTTCCAGGCTCAGCAGGGGGATCCCTGCACCCAGGTGCTGGTGTCTGCAGAGCAGCTGAGGGCAGAGGACGGGCTTCCCCTTCCTGCTCAGCCCAGCTGACGGGAATGAGGGGGGACAGCCTTTTAGAAAGGCTGAGCAAGAGAAGCATCGGAGACCGTGGAGGCCTTTATTGTACTTCAGCGCTCCCTGAGCTGTCGACATTCCGGGGGGGGGGGGGGGGGGCACGGCCCCTCCCTGGGAAGGCCAGGCTCTCCTCTGCTTTTTATTCTGTGGGAATGCCTCGCAGCAGGTTGGACCCCTGTTCTGCTCCAAGCCCGCCACACCAGGGAGTGGGCAGCTTCCAGCACGCTCTCAAGGCCCTGGTGCCTGGCCTGTCAGGGGACTCAGGCTGCTGGTGGTGCCCCTCCTTTGGCGTCTGGCCACCAAGCACTGATGCCACTTCTCAAAGGCCTGGAATCAGAGTAGAGGAAGGACTATTTGTCTCAGACTCCTCTGGGGCCTGTGCTATGCCTGCCAGAGTGACACCTGTACTGGCTCTTTCTGTCCCCATCAATGTCCCCTGCATCTGCCTCAGGCAGCCAGCCCATCCTGCCCCAGGCCAAATGCACAGGCTCAGAATAGACTGGACAATGACCTGGAAGCCCTCAGACAGCAGCAAGTGAGGAGGCGGGTGCCCCAGACCCAGACCCGACAGGCTGATAGGAGCAGCCAGAGTGCCACAGGCCAAGCCTCACTGTTCCCAAGTGAATGACCTCAACACAGCTGAGCTTGTGGCCACTAGTCAAATCTCAGGCTCTAGCCTCTGGGCTGTATGTTCTACACTCAACCCCACCCCTCTCCCCTGCAAATGAAGGGGCCCCCGGGCGTGGCAAGCAGGGAAGACCCTCAGCCCAGCCATGACCAGAGCTGGTACTGGTTTGGGGAGGGCTGGTTGGGTGAAGTGAGGTGGCCCTGGCTGGTACCTGGGAGAGGACCCAGCCACCTTCTTGCTGCTGTAGCCTCACAGCTACCTGCAGCTGCAGGACCCGACGCCGCCATATCCTCCAGGCCTGTCCCAGGTGCCACTGCCTGAGCTGTGGGGAGAGGTAACGGGGAAGCCCCGCCCTTCTGCCTCCCGCCAACTCCCATACCCCAGTGAAAGGCATGTGCCAAGGCTGTCATCTTAGGCCTGTTAGTAACTGCAGCTTCCTTGTCCCAAGTCCCATGCTTTCAAACTCTGAGGGTCCAGAGCCCAGCCCTGGGGGGCATTGCTTCTAGGCTTAGCTGAGGGCAGGGTGGGCAGAGAGGTGTGCCCCAGGGCCCAGGAGGAGCCTACAGTGTGAGGTGGGGCCAGGGGAGGGGGGGCCAACCACTCACCAGGGCCTGAGACGGCTGCTGCCCCCTTCGAGCATCTGCCCAGCTCCTCCAAATCACTGCCAGGCGCCTGGCATTCTGGGAAGCTTGGAACCCTCGAAGCCGAGCCTTGAGGCGCCAGCACCGCAGGTACTTCCTCCTTATGACCAGGAGCATCAGCACCTCTCCATGACCATGGAGGAGCGCAGAGCCATGGGACTGGGGCTGCTCTTCCAGGATCCTACAGGAATGAGCACTGGCCAGAGTGCCCAGCTGAGCCGGGGTGCAGGCTGGCCCCTTCTCCCACCCTCGCCCACGTGCACAGCTGTTCATACCCCGGCCTCCTGGGAGGGGCCTTCCCTTGGCTTTGGAGGGCTCTGAGCCCCCCACCTCTCAGTCCCGAAGGCAGCCAGCTAGAAGCCCAGCTGCCTTGTCCAGGCCACTGCAACCAGAACCGGGAGGTGGGGCAGAGGGGATACTCTCTGTCACCTGGAAAAGGAAGTTGGGCAGAGAAGACACTGGCTCAGACTGGTAGGTGCTCCCTCTATGCCACCTGCAAGTGGAGAGTACTGCAGAGGGCCAGGGGGTGCTGAGTGAGCACGGCCCTCCTACCCCATGTCTCCAGGCTCAGGGAAAGAACAGGGGTGAGCCAGGACAAGGGGATTGTTTTCTCAAACTGGCTGAGACATTTGGGAAGAGGAAGTGAGTGGGAAAACACAAAAGGGATTGGCCAAGGAGGTCATTTCCAGGTCCCTGAGGACTGGTGACCACCCAGGGGCAGGGTCTCCTTACTCTGAGCCCAGGTGGTTTCTTTCTGTGTCCTCTCTGCACCGTGGCTGTGCTCCCATGTTGGCCGGGGCAGCACAGGCCCTGTGGCCCATGTCCAGCAGCTGCGGGTCTACAGGAGCAGCCAGAGAGGAAAACCTGAATCCAGGGGGCTTTGAGCTCTTGGGGCAGCTGACCAGGTGGGAGTCCCTGCCCTCAGCATTAGGGCCAGGGCCTCTCGCTTGCATGTTTACAAATGGATCACTCACCTCACGTTCTCTCATAAGCCCCGAGGCCCCTGGAGGAGACAAGTTTCCCAAGAGCAGAGTGGCTGTCAGGACAGGCCGCTGCCTCTCCCTCTGCCCAGCCTCCCACTTGGCCACAGACATCCTAGCAGAGGATGGGCCAGTAATACCTACCTCTTGGTGGGTCCCCATGCCAGGCCCAGCCCCGGGGGTGCCAAGGGGAGCCACTTGTCTGCAGAGGTCCAGCCCGGAGCCCCAGGTGGTACAGCAGACAGACCGGGGGCTCCACAGGACTGCACCACATGAGGTGGCTCACGGCTGCGTGTGTCATGGGGCGAGGGCTGCGCCGGTGTGTACTCCCATGGGGGAGGGGGAGGGGAGGGACTGGGATGGAGCGCCTGGTGCCGAGTCTGCCAGCATTGACTTTGTTCTTTTTTTTTTTTTTTTTTGCTATCAGGGATTGAACCCAGGGGTGCTTAATCACTGATAATCACTGAGCCACATTCCAGCCCTTTATATTCTTTATCTGAGACAGGTTCTCACTAAGTTATTTAGGGCCTCTCTTAGTTGCTGACGCTGGCCTACTTGTGTTCCTCCTGCCTCAGCCTCCTGAAATAATGGGATCACAGGCGTGCGCCACTGCACCTAGCTTCTACTTTGTTCTCTAAGCCCAAGTTTCTCCGTCAGTGATGGGAGGTCTTACCTTGCTGACAGGAAAGCAGTGAAGGTATAAATAATCTGAATAAAAATTTGTCCTGTAACACATCCAGAAATACCCTGAGACGCCAGATCTGCTATTGCTGTAGTCTCATGTGTGCAAACTACCAAAGCCACTCACAATACATTTAAAAATATATATTTTTTGTAGTTATAGATGAACAGAATGCCTTTATTTATTTTTATGCGGTGCTGATAATCGAACCCAGTGCCTCACACATGCTAGGCAAGCGCTCTAGTTGAGCCACAACCCCAGTCCCCTCAATTACATTTTAAAAAGCAAAAAACACGGGTTGGGGTTGTGGCTCAGCGGTAGAGCATTCGCCTAGCACATGCGAGGCCCTGGGTTCGATCCTCAGCACCACATAAAAATAAGTTACTGTGTCCAACTACAACTAAAAAATATTTTTAAAAAGCAAAAAACACTTTAATGTTTTTCTTAGAATCTCTAAAATTGGTCATGTTCTTCCTGGAATTTTGACTCCTGGTGATGGCCAGAGATCTTCAGAAACACCAGTTGACCTACCAGTATATCTGGGCTGTGTCCCTCAAGGACATGTCCCCAGACTGCTATGCAGTGTCACATCTTGTGTTTTGTAGTGGCCCCTGCCCTCCTGCTAGGCCATCAGCCTCTTATCACCATTTGCTGTGTCAGAACTAACAGTTTCTGGTCTGGAGAAAACTGACAGTTCCCTTCGGGTGGTAAAAATTAGGACAGAACTTTTTTTACTGTGTTTTCCAGTTTTTCTGTAATGGGCATATTTATTTTTTCCAATAAAAAAACTTCACAAAAATTACTACTGTCCCCATGTACCTTCTTGATCCTAAGCTGCACATGATACGTAATTTAAGTGTCCGCCTCCCTGACAGACGGAGACCCCAGCAGGTTTAACTCTATAACCAGGTCTGCACTGAGCAGATCCAGAGGTGCTCAGTGAATGTCTGCAGAGGGACCCAGAGTTGCCTGCCATCCTGAGCCTGGAGGGCACCTAGGAACCAGGTAGGAGAGCTGTCCATGAGGGTGTTGGGCCTTTAGAGGAGCATCTAGCCAGCTGTCACCATGGACTGGTGATTCTAAAATCAGTGATCAGAGGGTCACTTCTATACCTCCCACCCTGCCTGCACCCCACCCGACCTGCTTCCAAGGGGCTGGAGTGTCCATCAGCACGAGGCACCCTCTGCTGGCCAGCCTGGGCCAGTGCTCAAGGTCCATCCTCTGGGCCTGGGTCCATGGTTTCAGCCGCACTCTGAGCAGCGCCATCTGCCACTGGGCCCAGTGGGTCCAAAGGAGGCGCCTAAGCCCAGCCTGCTGAAGCTGGGTGATGGCAGCTTGCTGGACGTGGCCCTGGGCCGCTAACTGAGCCCAGGCCTTTAGGACCCTAGAGGAGAAAGAGAGGGGCTATACCAGAGGCCACGGGGCCAGGATTCTAAGGCAGGTGGGGCAGGAGCCCTCCCCAGTGCCCTCTGGGAAGGGCCTCCAGGGAAGGGCCCCAGCCCGTGTCCTCCCCCATGCCTTTTGTGACGAATTGGGTTAAAATGAGTGTGGAGAGGGCCCTGGACAGGGACTAGCTTCCTGTTTATGTGGCAGAGAGGACGGTCCTGTCAGCTCTCCTCTGCTGCATCTGACCCATACTGAGCGCCTGCACTCTGGCCAGGCTGCAGGAACTGTCAGGCACTTCCCCAAGGAAGGTCCCCCTGCTAGAGTGGCAGACCTGTACTTTTGCCCCTGGGCTTGGCCCTGTGGTGGCCAAGATGGCCTCTCCCCATCGTTCTCCTGCACCCCACTCCTGCCCAATATGCCTTGCTGCTGGGAAAAACAAGCCCCCGGCCTGAGCCGGAGTTTGCTGGGGGCTGCCCTCGGGCTGCACCACTCCCAGGCACTCGGCGGGCACTCAGCTTCCAGGCCGTGTGGACCTGTGTACCCACGGGGTCCTGCCCAGAGCCGCCTGGCCTGGGGCCTGGGCCTGTGCTCTCACTTCTATCTGCTGCTGGGCCTCACAGCACCATCCAAGATCACTTGCCATGCCACCAAGGCCTGCTGGGCCTGGGCCCTCTGCTGCCTGTGCCCAGGCTTGCTCCACATGGCTTCTCCAGCAACGGTGCAGGCCTAGGCAACTTGCTGCTCCTGTGCCCAGGCGGCCACTCCGGGCCTCCTGCCAGGTGGCAAATGAGGCCCCACTGCCCTTCTTCTCTGGCTGGACTCTGAGCCCAGGCCACCCCTGCCTCTCACAGGCTCACCCCAGTGCCAGGCCTAGAGGTAACTGCAGAACAGGAGTGGAAAGGGGCCCAGCTGGCTCAGAGTCAAAAGTCACATTTACTTAAAATGACACCTGCTCGTCACCCAAAATGTCACATAGGTTCACATGACTTGGCGTACATAGCCCTGTGCCTTAAAAACATCTTGGCTAACAAACAACAGAGAAAGCACTGCTATCCTTCAGGGACCTCGACGCACATGGACCCCATGTTTGAATCTTGGCCTTGGGGGGCAGATGCCACCCCGGGAGGGGGCTGACCCAGCAGTGTGGGTTCGTGGCCACTGCCAGCTTGCCCTCGCCTGCCCCGGCAGCTGGCAGGAAGGGGAAAGATGATCCCCCACCCAAGGGTCCAAGAGCCAGCCCAGGTTGCTCAGAGGTGAGAGCAGAGACAGCAGTCGCTGAGTGGCCAGCCCACTGGGACCCTGGAGACGACTGCAAATCAGGGCCGAACAGGGGAGGAGACATTGTCCTCGCGGCTTAATTTCAGGGTATCGAGTCCCCCAAAACGTTTCTTTTTACTATTTTTGTGAGGTCTTTTGTTCCATGCCCAGCACCGAAAAGAAAAAAATCATGGTCTCCCTCTCTGGCAATCGTGGGTTTGATCAGGGCTGCGGCTGCCCACCCAGCCCCCCGTATGGTAGACATCTGAGGCATTCATCTTCCATCCAATGGCACCTCTGAAACCTCAGCACCGACCTGGCCCAGTGAACTGCTGGGTGTGTCGGGCCGTGGGGAGCGCAGGGGCTTGCCACACCCCCCAAACACAAAACAAGAGGTTGGTGGTCGCAGCCTCATGTCCGGGGTGCCCTCTTCATTCTCCAGCCTGGGCCACCCGAGCTTCCCAGCCCCCGGCTCGCTCCCTGCTTCCCCTGGGGTAGGATGAGCAGCTTCCCCGCCCCAGGCCCACCCACCTCTGCTTGTGCCTCCTTCGAGCCGCTGCCTGCCACCAGCCCTGGAACATGGTCCTCCGCAGGCCCCGGAGGTGGCCCTGCACCCACCTCTGGTACTTCTCATGCAGGACCTGCTGCCCTGGGACAGAGAGAGGCTGCAGTGCCATTGAGCTCATCCGGCCCCTCCCCGGCCCAGCCCTCTGCCCTCCACCCACATGGGAGCCGAGGCGGCCGCCCAGACTGACTGGGTTAGAGCGCTTCTGCAGCAGCTGACCATCCTCTGGTCACTAGGCCAACCCGACTCAGGGAGCCGTTGAGTGGTTCTGGTCTTAATTCCAGTACTGGGAATGGAACCCGGGGCGGCACCTCACTGAGCACACACTCGGCCACTGAGCTGCACCCCCAGCCCCTGCCTTTCCAAAAAAATTTTTGACAATGTTCAGGCATTGTTAGAATTCAGATTTTAAATCCAGATGTCTAGTTTTTCTTTAAAACCAAGGAGGTCCTGCATCAAACATTGGTCAGCATTCCGGATGGGCAGGAATCGGGCTGGAGAAGCAGCTGTCTCCAGAGACAGATCAGGTGCTTCTCTGCCCATCAGCCTATTCACATAAGTCAGCCCCAAGATCCCTCCTGCTGTCCATGTCCTGTGCAATGCCCCCTCCCACACCTGAAGTGCAGCCTGGACTAACTGACCTGAGGTGCAGGGGTGCTGACCAGGTCATAAATGACCAGCTCCTGGCGGGCACCCTCACTGCCTCTTGGATCACTCACCTGCAGGGTGGGGGCAGCTGCCACTCATGCAGGGACCCTGCTGAGAGGCCCACCTTCAGATGGCACTGCAGCCTCGGTGCCTGGCCAAGCCACCCTGGACCCAGCACATGGACACTGAGATACTAAGTGTCTGTGGCTCATGACTGGTCAACAGGGCGGGGCGCAGCCGGGGTACAGCACTTGCCTGGCACGCCTGAGGCCCTGTGCTCCGTCCCTGCCACTAAACACTTACTAAAAACTAGTTCTGGAGTCATTTGTTACACAGCGGGGATCACAGAGGCTCTAGCAGCCCGATGATGGCTGGGCTCAGACAGGGCACAGGACACAGCCCCTCCCTCCAAGGAGCCAGTCTGTCTTGGGACCACGCCCTTCCTTCCCTGGCCACATCCCGTCCCACCCGCTGCCCTGGCATGTGCAGACAAACCCCCTGCCTCCACTGCTGAGCCACCCACCCACCCCGTTGGGGACCCGCCACCTGGGAGCTCCCACCAGTGACTCTGGGAGGCCAGGCTGGGGTGACAGGAGGAAGATGAAGGTGATCACAGTGTAACTGGGTAGGAACTGGGCTGTGGGCCGAGCTGTGGGGGGGGTCCCTAGGTCCCCACGATCACCCCGTGAGCTGCATGCTGCGTCATACCCCTTTTACAGATGAGTAAGCTGAGGCTCAGAGGCCAAGTGGCTCCGTCAAGGTCCCTCCAGCCAGGGGAGGGAAGGCAGGGCCCCAGCCATGACTCGAGTTCCAACCCCCATCCTGCTCCGCCACCCGGTCTGTCCTGGGTGTGCCCTGCCGCAGGTGTGGAACCCTGGGCCTCACCGATGACCCAAGCCCACGCCCAACTCACTCTGCCAGCGGGAGTGCCAGCAGCGCAGCGCCTCCCGCGCCAGTCCCCGGCCCCGCTCCTGGGCCCGCTGCTCGGCCTCCTGCCACTGCGCCAGCCGCTGCCGCCACAGCCCCAGCGCAGTCCTGCAGCTCCGCTCCCAGGCCCGCTGGGCAGCCAACTCCCTCCGGGCACCTTGGGCTGTGCTCCAGTGGCTCCAGCTGAGGAGGACACTGGGAAGGGGCATGTCCACCCCAGGGACAGTCACTGTTACTGCCACCCTGGGCCAGGAGTCCCCTCTCTCCTCCCTTCAGCAGCAGGGAGGGCTTGGGTGACCCTCCCTGCTTCCATCAAGGGGTGGGTGGGCCGCTGGGGACTGGAGGGGGTCATGCGGCAGGTGATAGCGATAGGAAGGGCCCCACCCTCAGTACCAAGTCCCAAGCTCAGGCAGAATCAAACACAGCTGTGGCCCGAGCGCCCTCCTGTGCCGGGGATGGACACGCCCACTGGAGTGGGCACTGCCACCGCCCCATCTTACGGAGCGTTTCAGCCACTCGCCCAGGTCACGCAGCCCGTGAGGTGCAAGTCTGGGCTATGCCCCGGGCAGACCACTCCTGGGCACTGGGCTATGAATGGATGCATGAATGCGCCTCAGCTGTGACTCCTGAGAGACACGAGGACCCTGCAGAGTGCCCCCCCCCCTCGGGAGGCAGGGCAGGAGGACGGGCGTGGGAGGACCTGAATCAGGGTCCAAGCTGACGGGACATGAGAGAGAGCCCGAGGGAAGGCTGCCGTGAGGCCCAGGACTGCGGGGAGAAGGGCCAGGGAACAGCCAGTCTCCCGGGTGGTGGGCAGCACAGCCCTGACGGGGGAGGGGCCCTACCGCCTCTGCAGGCTGCGCTGGCACCACCTCGCTGCGCCCCGGGACTGCTGGGCCCGTGCCCACCAGAGCAGAAGGCTTTGCCTCTGCCGTCGCCGCCCAGCTGCCCACAGGAAGCTCACCCGGAGAGGCTCCAGGAGGACGGGGGTCCTGGGAGCCTGGGGAGGGACCCAGGCGCTGAGTCCTGGGTGCCTCTCCCCCCACTCCTCCCCCTGCCCATCCCCCACCCTGCCCTCACCTGCTCCAGGGAACCCGGGGGTCACTGCAGCCCAGCCAGGCCTCTCTCGGGCCACTGCCCCATGGCCCCAGGGCCAAAGGGGTCTCGCTGCCGCCTGACAGGGTGCCTTGAGCCCATGCCCTCAAGCGCCACCAGCTCAGGATGTGCCGCAGGGTCCTCTCCCGCAGGCCCTGAGAGAAGGAGCTGCAGAAGAGGTGGCAAGTCAGGGGCCCCGCCTCCTCTCTGGCCAGAGCAGGGTGACGTGCTGCAGGAAGGGGACTCACCGTGGGCAGACACGGGGCTAGAGCCCTGCCCCATCCTCTAACCTGGCCGCACGCTAGGGTCATGAGGGGCTTCAAGAAACAGCAGTGCCCAGTGGGGTGCCCCCCCGACATCCACCTAATGGCCAGGGTTTCCAGACCTTTCCACCTCCCCCCTGGCACTCTGCTTGCATCACCGACTCCCAGGGGAGGGTGGGGATCGTGGCACTGGTCAGGGGTGAGCTAGGCCCCAGGCCCCCCCGCTCCAGAGCCCGCACACGGCCACAGGATGCCTGCCCGCGCCTGGCCACAGAGAGAGGAAAACCAAGGCCGGGGGTCATTTCCCAGCTGCAAGAACAGCAGGCCTGGGACGCACTGCAGGCCACAGGGCAGCACCATGCCGAAGGCCAGACGATGGCCCAATGGATGGCCGTGGGGAGGGAGGTGACATTCTGAGAGTCATGAGGACTGAGTCCCAGGGAGGCACTGAGACAGACTCAGGGAGGCAGGTGCAGCCCAGGAGGAGAGCATGCCCTGCCCGGCTCCGTCCCCAGCACCACACACACCAAAAGTGGATTTTTGAATTGGGGCACTATAATTATACATTTGGGCTTATTTTGACAAAATCATTTGATTTCAATCTCCATCTCCCCTTTCCCCCCCTCCTCCCCCTGCCCCCTTCTCCACTCGGCTAGACTCCCTTTCTATCTTCGGTATACACATAAAAATGGAATTCCCTGTGGTACCTTTTTATATGAATATAACATGATTTTGTCAAATTCATTCCATTTATCTCCTCCCTCCCTCCCTCCCCCACTCCAGTTCCTCTCCCCTGATCTTTTCTGGAGCTTTATGAAACCTGATCCCTCCCCCACCTCTTCCCTTTGTTTTGCTCTAGTTTTTGCAGGAGAGAAAACATTCCACCTTGATTTTGAGTCTGACTTGTTTCACTAGCATGATTTTCCCCATTTCCATTTCATCCCTAGCACCAAAAACAAACAAACAAAAAATCTTAAAAAATTAAATTAAAAAAAGACTGAGGGTCCAAATGGGCCAAGTGTATGGGGGGATGATTGATACCAGGTGTGGCTTTCAAGAACAGATTTTTTTTTTTTTTTGAGATGGAGTCTCTCAAGTTGCCCAGTTCATGATTCTCTTGCCTCAACTTCCTGAATAGTTGGGATCATAGGCAGGTGCCACTGTGCCCAGTTAAACTGGGCATATAGCCCAGGTCCTTGCACAGGCTAGGAGAGAGCTCTTCAGCTGAGCTGCACCCCCAGGCCCGGGAGGGAATTCTTGATCCTGCAGTTCCGGGTTTATCTTCTCTGACATCCCTGTGGGCAGCACGGTCCCTCCTGATCACCTTCCCCTCACTCTCAAATGTCAGTCTGGGACCTGAACCCTGGCACCTGCTGTCCTGGGAAGGCATCTCCACCACCCTGGCAGCTCCCTGCTCAGGGTCACCTGGCCACCTCCCAGGGCCTAGGACCCCCTGTGCCCACCCCTTGATGGGGCCACAGGGAGGAGCCATGTGGCCTGTGGGACACTGCGCTCCTGTGCCCACCCTGTGCTCCCATGCCCACCCTGTGCCCAGGCCAACCTTAGGCCACGCTCCTGGGCACCTACGTAGCCTGCTGGTGCTGACAGAGCCGTGTCCTCCACAGCCGCAGTGCCTGGGTCAGGGTCAGTCTCCGGCAGGCCTCCTGGAGGGAGCCCTGGCCTGGCCCCTGGGGTGGCCCCTGGGCCTGGGCCACTATCTGAAGGCGGCGGGCTGTGGTGGCTCCAGGGCTTGAGCTACCTGAGAGGCAGGGAGCTGGGTGAGCCCCTCCCCGCAGGCCTCCCCCTCTGCCTCAGGGCCCAGGGCCTCTCCCTAGGGGCATGGCCCTCCCACTCCCTTCCAGGGCACCTCCAAGGCCAGGAGCTTCCTGACACCAGGCACCAGTCCCTTCAGGCAGGACGTGGGACAGCCTGGCACTAAGTGAGTTGTGGGAGGAAGTGGGAGAAAGTCCCTCTCACACCAGGTCAGCTCATGTAGGGGACCAGGAATGTGGCCCACGCTGGGGACACCCTCACCCAGAGCACCCCCAGGCCAGCAGGTTGCGCCCCCAGAAGCCCCCACTTCTATCACCTCCCGTCGTAAGAGTTCACACATCCCACTGGGGCCCACAGAGAGGGAGATGGAGTGACAGAGTGGCCAGGGGACCCTTGCTCTTGTCCGTTACTCGCTCACCCGCCTTCTTCAGGCAGAGGGACAGCCGGGTCACCTTGGTGCCCTCTGAGGCTCGGAGTTGCTTCATCTGCACCCACTGTGCCAGGCACACTCTCAGGGTCTCCAGCCTGGGGTCAGCAGGGTGGTTCTGGACCTGGGCTCCTCTTGGTGCCAGCTGTTGCCAGGCCCCTGAGCACCTACAAGAGCCCCTGCCCCACGGAGACACGCCCCTGAGTGTGGGGGGTGGAGGGCCAGCACCTTGGCCCTTCCGAGCTTCCGCTTTCTCATCTATGAAACAGTTCTTGAGTTATCCCAAAAAAAGGGGGGCAGTAGAACACCGTGTCTCTGAATGCCCCTTCCTGTTCCCCAAACACCCAGCCACACTGAGGGAACAGCCAGGGCAGGCCTGGGCTGGGAAGTCCAGACCCAGGGACCAGGCCATCTTGAAGGACGCTGGCTCCTCTGAGGCACCTGGGAGCCAGGCGAGTTCCTTGCTCGTGCACAGGGACAGCTCCCTGGGTGCTGGTCAGACCAGCCAACAGCACGCTCAGGGTGGCCACGTCACTGCCTCTGTGGCCTGAGGTACAAACACCTCCTGGGATAGACGTGGAACTGAAAGGTGTCATTCACTCAGCCACCGCTGGACAGGAGGTGGCCCAGGGAGAGGAGGCGCTGCTCAGGCAAGCAAGGTGGGGCTGGAGGTGCCGTCCCTCGGCCTGTCACCACGGACAGACGGGGCAGCCGCACACCTGCTGTGAGCTCTCCCGGGAACTCGCGGCTCCCGCTATCTCCAGCCCTTTCTTTGGCTCTCTGGCCACCTGCCCATTGTCCCTGACAACTGCTGTGAGGACCGGAGCCTGCCCTGCTCAGCCACGGCACTGTCACCTCTGGGAGCCCAAGTGGCTGCTTCCGCCCGCGCCAGTCAGTCTCTCCCTCCAGTGGCCACTACCTTGCCCTTAGGGTAAAATGTCAATTTCTTCCCGTGGCCGACCTGCCCCACAGGCCTTTCCAACCTCTCCTCCACAACCCCGGGTCCCACCCGCCAAGGCCTTGCGAGACGCTGTTCTTGAGCTTCTGAGCCTCCTGAGCCTCCTGAGCCCCCCGAGCCGCCGCGCCTGGGCGGCTCTGTGCACTCGCTTCCCTTTGCCTGGCCAAGGCCCCACTCTCTCCTTTCCACCTTCACAGCCCTGCTGGACCCTGGTTTAGGTCACTTCCTGTGTTAAAAGTTCTCAGGGAAGTCCCCACGGGGGAATCACAGATTCAAACGACTGCAACAGCGCGACCGTTCCCCAGATCAGAGGCACACAACGTGTGTCGACTTCAAACTGAGCATCGGGAGCCCGGCACCCACCAAGGTTTGTTAGTGATCGGGTCATTGCTCCTGTTTTTACGTGGGGGATGGTATTGCGAGATGCTCCGCAGGCTGGGGGCGGTGGTGGCACCTACAGTCCCAGCTATTCAGGAGGCTGAGGCAGGAGGACTGCTTGAGCCCAGGAGTTCAAGACCAGCCTGGGCAACAGAGCAGATGCTCCCCACCAAAAAGAAACATACAGCTCTGTGATCCTCCTCCTCAACCTGGTGGTGTTCACATACACCTGCGACGGCTCAGTCCCCATCTGCCCACAGCAGCCGGGGTCCTGCTGGGGTGTGGGTGCAGTGGGGCCAGGAGCGCCCTGGCTGGGCTGGCCCATCTCAGGCCTGCTGGTCAGTGGCGGCTGTTTTCATTTTGGAAGCGCTTCCTGTCTCTCAGTGTCAGGAGTTGACTTAGAGGCAAGTGTCCCCACTCCCACCCTCCTCCACGTCCCCTACCTGGGCAGCCAAGCTCTCTGCGGCTGAGAGGTCACTGAGGCACCTGCAGCATTTGGGTGCCAGGCCCGTGGGGGGCTGGCCATCCTCCGAGTCCTCTGTGGGGCCCCAGGTGCCTCCTCCAGGACCGCCCGCTCCTGCCTGGTCCTGTCCTTCAGGTGGTACTGCAGGAGGGAGACTGGGAAGAGGAAGAAGAGAGTGAGCGAGGGAGGATCTGGCCAGGAGGGGCCGCTGACATCCAGACTGCCGCTGTCCGGGCCTTCCCAGCTCTGGGGCCATGAGTAAGTGAGGAACAGCCCTTTGTTCAGGCCTCCAGCCTTGGCCTCCATCAGCATCAGAAACACAAAAAGACAGTTTGTGCCTCACCTGCTGTGTGCCCTCAGACTCATTACTTCACTCTCTGGGCCTCAGTTCTCCAAGAATAAAATGGGCTCAATGAATTCCCCAAGGGAGCTCACAGTGAGGACCAAATGAGACCATCAGAGAAGTTGCCAAAACAAATACTCAGTCAACTCATTTACCCAGGACCCACGGCCTGCAGGCCTGCCTGGTGCACTCTGTCCCCAACACCCCCTTTCCAGGGCCCCCACCTCACCTGCCAGCTGCTGCAAGGCCTGCAGGACCTGGACTCGCCCGTCTCCGTCATCCGCTCTCTGCCCAGGCTGCAGTGGACGAGGCCGGGCTCCCTCCTCCTGCCTCTGCCTCCCTGGACTGAGAAACAGACTGCCCAGTGGAGGGAGGGCACGGGTCCCCACTGTCCCCTCCAGCTGGCGGCAGGGGCTGGGAGCTGGGGGAGCCGAGCACCCGGCCCCAGACAACGCATTTATTCCTGATTACAGAAGCTGTCTGGGAGCGGCGGGTTCTGCTTTTGCTTTCTTCTTCTTTTTAAATATTTTTTAGTTGTTGATGGACCTTTAGTTTATTTATTTATATGCGGTGCCGAGAATTGAACCCAGGCCCTCGCTCATGCTAGGCAAACGCCCCCCCCCTTCCTCTGAGCCCAGCCCAGCCCTTGCTTTATTCTTTCTTTATGGAGAACTTCCCCCTGTGCTGGGCTGGGAGCCAGGGCCTGCCCCGGGCCAGGCAGGCGCTCCACCGGGGCGCTACAGACCCAGCCCTGGGTTCTTTTTAGATCAAGCATGCTTGCTGTCACCACGGGAAATGGCACCAGTAAAGGGACGGAAAGGAGGAAACAGGGAGAAAGAGGGTAAATGTTTTTAAAGTCCTCATGAACAGCACCCGGGGGTCACCCGATCTCGCACCCCGCGGTCCTGCTTCCCAGGCTGCAGGGCCAGAGTGATGCTCCAAGACAGCTTGTGCCCAGGTCTCTGTCCACACCTGCTCCTCCGTCCTCCTCTTGTCGGGAGGAGGAACAGGGGACAGCAAGGCAGGGGCAGGGTGGGGGTGCCAGCCGCCTGGGCCACACGGACCAACCTGGGGGTTCCAGCCGACCTGCACCTCTGGGCAGGGTCCACCACTGCCACTCTTCCCAAGGAAGGGCCGTGACAAGGGGGTCTGGACACATACTGGACATGGGGGTGCCCTTGCTCCTGCCGCAGAGCCAGGCATCTCCACTGGATCAAGAGAGAAGGGACAGGGGGTGTCGGTCATGGCCTTGAACGAACCTCCCCAGGAGACACCAGGACCTCATCACCTCCCCCAGCCCAACTTGGAGACCCCTGACCTCTCGGAAGCTCCGGGCTAGCAGGGCCTTGGTGTGTCGCCCCCAGGCCGCCTCCAGCTGTGCCTCCCGGAGCCACAGGGCCCATCGCAAGGCCCGAAGGCCCTTTCGCAGCAGGCGCCTGCGGCTCAGAGCCACTGCCATGGTCACTGCCCACCGCCTCCAGGCCAAGTGTCTCCAGGCTCTGAAACATCTGGACAGCCGCTGCCAGCTGAGGACAGACCAGGCTGATTGGGGAAGGACCTGGCCCTCCCACCCCCAGGGGCAGCGGCATCTGGGCCCTTCCTGTGTGGCCTTTCCAGCAGTCACAAAGGGGTGGCCCTGGCCACGCAGGACAACCTCCCTCTCGCTGACAGCTGGACAAGAAGTCCCAGCAGGAGAGCTCCGGGGACCAGGGACCAATGACACCCTTTGGCTTCCTGGAAGACATTTCCTCTCCTGTGCCTCTGCCATCACCCAGCCTGCCTCTCCCACCCACCACAGCCATGGCCTCACCGGGCTGCCTGGGGCTCCAGGGTCACACCGTTAAGGGCCTCGCGCTGGGGGAAGCAAGAGGACACAACACTGCGCTCAGGCCGGGGAGCAGGAGGCCCTGCCTGCTGGGAGCCCCACCCTGGCCCAGCCTCCTCCAGCCTCCACCTGCTGGCCGCTCCTCCTCGAAGAGGTGGCATCTGAGGGACAGGAAGCCGTCCTCTCTGCCTCCCTGTCTGCCTGCTCCCGCAGGGGCTGCTCTCCTTCCTGCCCAAGGAGGGCGTCCCCAGCGGCGCTGGAGGAGGCTGAAGAAGTGAGCCTGGCCTCCGAGCTGCCCGTCCCTCCAGTGAGACTGGGGATCCCCATGGCCTCCCAGCCAGGTGGAGGCTCTGGGGGGCACTTGTCTCCTTGTCCTGGGGGCTGCTCGGGAAGGACCTCCTGCTCAGAGTCAAAGAAGTTCCCCGTGAATGTCCCCAGAGCGGTGGTGAACGACTCCGGCTCGCTGAGCGCTCCAGGGTCTATGGGCGCCTGGACCCCCCAAGTCTCTAGGAGGCCGCGGGGGCGTCTCTTCTCATCCTGGGAAGCGTGAACAGGCTGGCTGGGCTGGGGGCGGGCAGGGAACGTCTGGCCACGGCGGGTGCGGGGGCCCCACGGTGCATGGCCAGGGGGCTTCCGGGACACCCTGCACCTGAGGCCAGCGGCCTCTTGCTCCAAGCGCTTCGCGGAGGCCAGCAGCAGGCAGGTGGCAATGGGGGGCGGGGCCCGAGCCTGGCTCCGGGCAGGGACAGCTAAGTCCTCCAGGGTGAGGGGCTCCCCCACCAGCCTGCCAGTCCAGCTCTCCAGGTCACGCCAGGCTCTGGGACCTGGCCGTGGGCATCCATCCAGTGGACTGAAGCCTGTGGCAGGCCTGAAGTTGGGGCAGGGGGCCAGTGTGGCTCCGGGGACCTGCCTCATGCAGAGGGGCAGGTGAGCCCGCGGCCTGTGGCTTTCCCGGAGGGAGCTGCTGCCCGTCCCTCCCACACGCAAGTTCTTCTGCTGAACAGGGGACTCTCGCACCTTCCCTTGGGGCCTCCCAGCCAGTGACCACAAGTTGCTTTGTTGCTGGAAGCCTGAAGTGTCCAGCCAGCAAGTCGTGTCCTTCAAGGGCAGGCCCAGGCGGGGATGAGGACTGGCCAGGTTGCTCTGCACTCGGCAGGGATCCTGGGGCAGTGCCGTCCCTGGAGAGGGTGTGGTAGGTGGCCCTCCCCTTGTGACCTGGCATATGGGCACCGACTGGCCATTTCCATGGCTCAGGCCAATTTCCAGGCCCCTCAGAAATCTTCGTTGCTCTGCAGAGAGGAGAGACAGTCATGGGAGAACTCAGGTGGTCAGTGGTCAGGTGGGCCAGGCCTCAGCTGGGACGGGGCAGGGTCCCAGCTCTGTCTCCTGGGTGGACAGTGGGATCTTAGAGCCAAGAAGTGACGTGGTCTGACATGAAATCTGACTGCATGGAGCATGGACAGGGGAGGGGAGAGAAGGACAGACACACAATAAGGAGGCTGTTGAGAGGTAACGGCGGCAGGGACGGAGGTGGGTACCGGGAAGACTCAGATACACTGGGAGGGTAGCTTAGAAGAGGGGGCAAAGGGAAGAAAATAATGGAGGGTCCCCCCCCTCAATGTTGGGCTCAAGTGGAGACAATGGGTGCCACAGGCTGGGGCCACAGGCAGGGGTCACAGGCTGGGGGAAGGCAGCTGGAGGCCAACTCGGGGGGGATGTGCAGTGGGGTTCGGAGCCCTTCCCCAGTCCCCAAGGGCCCTCTTCAGCGTGCAGAGTGTCCCCACTGTCTCACAGCCCCTGAGCCAGAGCAGGGAGGGCCCCTGCCCACCAACCCTGGCATCTCAGCCAGGGGCACCAGCCAGGCCCACTCCTGGTCCTTCCTGAAATGCCCCTCAGGCCCCAGGCTGGGGAGACTTTGTCAGAGGCCCAGCCGACCCTGGGAAACCCTCCCTCAGGCCTGCTGGGGAAGGGGCTGAGTCTGTCCCTAGAGGGGACCCTGCCCAGGCCCACTGAAGCCTCTTGCCTGGCCTCCTGGGGGTTGCAGGCCCTGGGGGCACATTCTCCTTATAGCTGGTGACAAGTCTTGGCTCCATGGACTGTGGGGACAGCTGTGTCCTCAGTTCACACCACAATGGACGGTCTGGCCTGTTCAATCAGATGGGCTGCGTGGGGGGCTCCGTGGTGGGGCACATGCCTGGCGCGCACAAGGCCCTGGGTTCCCCAGCACCCCAACAAGCACAGACAAATCCCATGAGCTCTGCAGGGACAGGACAAGGTAGCGTGGCCGTGAGTGCCCTGTTCCGCACCTCCACCCTGCAGCAGCTCCCCCTGCCTGGTCATGGCCACTCACTGCTTGAGCCCCGGGTCTCCTCTCCTGCCCTTCAGTCCCCCCCTCTCCCCATAGTTGCCGGGTGTCCTCTGGCCCAGCGCTCCTCACACTGATCACACATCCCCTAGGGACTCTCATTCCAGGCAGCCCCTCAGTGTGACCTGGAGGAGGGACAGCCCCCTCAGCTTCCTGGTGCCTCCTCCAAACCACTCCCCTCCCTCCTCTGAAACCCCCTGGCTCCGAGCTGAGTGGCCAGGGAAGGACGTCAGGGCTCACCCTGAGGCTTAAGAGTTCAGCTCTTGCTCGGTTCATGGTCACCTTCCCAGCACACGCCTGTCAGAATTCTTGGTGAGTCACCATCCACCCAGACTCCCTGACCTTCTCCTCTCCCAACATCCTGTCCTTCACCTGATCTCAGCCACCTGCCCCCAGGTTCCCCGTCCTTTCCCTGTCTTTCCAGCTCACTCCCTCCAGCGTCCCAAGCCCAACAGTCCTTCCTGTCACGAGACCCAACCCTCTGACCCAACCGCCCTGGCCCTCAGACATTCCCTCATCCCTTTGACATCTCTCCCTCCTTCACAGCTAATGATCAAGCATGTGATCCCCCCAGCCCCTCCCTCCTACTGTCCCAGTCTTTTGGCAGAATTAAGAGGCTGGGTAAAGGCGGCCACCTGTGCCCTGGGCTGCACCTGAGCAGGTGAAAGTGGACAAAGCCCTGATGGCCTTGCTCAGAGTCCTGTCCTCTGGCCTCCAGCCTCCAGACCCTGCTGGAGGATCAGACTCCAGTCCTCTCCCTCCAGGACCTGCTCCTCACTCCTCCTTGTCCCCTGCACCTCCTGCAACGACCAGCACGACCGCCACACCTTGCACTCATGGTGTCTTCCCACCACCTCCAGGGGCCTTGCTGTGAGTCGGGAAAAGCACCCGGGGCAACCATAGGCCCCTGGCAGACTCAGCCCAGCAGCTGGGGGGGCTGGGGGGGAATTATATGCTTGATCACTAACTGTGAAGGCTGCAATGTCAGCCCCTACTGCTCAGAAGTCCCCTCCCCGCCCTCTAGCACTGCCCCCTGCCTTACTGAATCATTTCACATGTAGGTGGTTAACTTCTATATTAAAAAAAAAACAAAAACAAAAAAACACTAAAATAGTGCAAGGTCCTGGGTTCAATCCTCAGCACCAAAGAAACAAGTCCAAATAAATAAATAAAACACACACACACACACACACACACACACGAGCGCGCACACACCCACAGGTCCTGGGCCATCTATCTCCTCACCTGGCCATCACACACACCCACACCCCAGTCCGCCCTGCCCACCATGTTGACCTCACTTCCATCTGGCCTGCCCCGGCTCCCGGCCAAGCTGCGCTCCTCCAGGTGAACACCAAGACCTCAGCTCTCAGCCCTTGGGGTTTGGAGGCCTCGGGGGCACAGGGCAGGTGGTCCTTTCTGGAGGCCTCCCTGAGCTGAGCCCAGGATGCCTCCTCTCTGGTCCCCTTCCCCCTCCCTGCAGGCTCTTCCCAGGCTCCTCTGCTGATGCCTCCTTGGTGGCAAGGCCAGGGCTGAGCCCTACCCTGTGGTCTCAGCCTCAGGGTATGCATGGCCTCGCCTAGCCCCAGACCTGTCCACTGGCCAGCAGGCCAACCAGTGAGACCCACACCTCCTCCACACCTCTGCCAGATGTTTAATGGCCATCTCCTCATCAGGAGGTTCAAATCCCAATTCCTGCATACCTCCAAACAAGCTCTCTCCCAGAGCCACCTGGCTTCCCCCGCTCTCTCACGCCCTCAGTCATCCAATTCAGTCCACCTTCCACAAGTATCCAAAACATGAGCCTGGGCATGGCCTCCACCTGCACCTCCCTGGGTAAGCCTCCACCACCTTCTGCCTCCCAACTGGGCCTCCTGCCTCTACTCTGTGCCCTCCCTTGACATCTAACTCCCCACACAGCAGCCTGAGTGATGCTGAAACACTCAGATCAGATCTACCCTGCCTCAACTCAGACATCCCGTGGCGCCTAGCCCTCTCCATGCACTGCCAAGGCCTTCCAGGCCCTGTGGCAGGAGCTGGCACACTGTGACCAGGGCATGACTTGTATTACACATAACAAAGCCATATCCATCTGCTTATGGACGGTCAGCTTTGAGGCTGTAATGATGGAGTTGAACAGTCACCACAGACACCTTCAGGCCAACAAAGCCTTAAAACATTTACTCTCTTAGCTGGCTGCAGCAGTGCACACCTGTAATCCCAGCAGCTAGGAGGCTGAGGCAGGAGGATTCCAAGTTCAAAGCCAGCCTCAGCAACTTAGTGAGGCCTTAAGCAACTCAGGGAGACCTTGTCTCAAAATATAATATAGAAAAGGGCAGGGGCTGTGGCTCAGTGGTTAAGCGCCCTTGGGTTCAATCCCTGGAACCAAAAACCCCAAACAAAATATTTACTGACTGACATTCAGGAGGTGTGCTGGCCTCTGCTGGCTGACTCTGTTACCTTCCTGACCTCAGCCCTGCTCCTCTCCGCCTCGCTCACTCTGCTCCAAACTCATCGGTTTGGCTGTTTCGCCAACATGCCATGCATGCTCCCAGCACAGGGCCTTTGCATTGGTGGTTCCCTCTTTCTGGAACTCTCTTTCCCTCATGCTTTCAAGTCCTTCTCAAAAGTCCAGCAAGCCTTTCCTCCACGGCTCTCTCCCCAACTGCATCACCCTATCGGCTCCTACTCTCTTTACCTGGCATTATCTTCCTCCATGGCAGGTGCCACCACCCACAGTACTGAAGGAATCACTGTTTCTTCCTTTAGTGCACGGAGCCACATGAGAATGGACCACTGTCTTGTCCCCTGCTGTACTGGCAGGACTAATGAGAGCAGGGCGCCCAGAGTAGGGCTTATAAACGTGCCTTCAATGACTGAACCACCTAAGCACTGCACAGCCTTCAGCAGGCCCTGAAGCCCTAAGACTTAGGTTCCGGGTTTTAGAAATGACCATACTTGGCAGGCCTACCTGTCCAGCGCCAGGCTACAGCTAACTGGTCAGCCGCTGCAGAGGGGCCAAACCAGGGCTGACTTCTAACCAGGTCCGCCCCTCCCCCGCCGCCTGCCAAAGTTGACTGGAGACAGCTCAGTCCACGGGATCCCCTCCTACCCGCCCGGCCTGGGTCCATCTACCATCTCTGCTCCCCTCACCGCGTTGCCCCATCCCTCTCCACTCCAGGACACTCAGAGCCTCCTCTTCCCACCAAGAGACAGGAGGCGGTTTCCTGCCCTCACGTGCCGCTAACGACCAAGACAGGTGGTGCGCGAACTCCGTGAGCAAGCCCGCGGGCCCCGCCCGCCACACCCCACCGAGCCACCCCCACCGAGACACACCCCCACCTAGCCACCCCCACCGAGACACCCCCTCCGAGACACACTCACCGAGACACACCCCCACTTAGCCACCCCCCACCTAGCCACCCCCACCGAGACACACCCCCACCTAGCCACCCCCCACAGAGCCACCCCCACCGAGCCACACCCCCACTTAGCCACCCCCACCGAGCCGCTCACTCCCCCACCGAGCCACCGCCACCGAGCCACACCCCACGGTGCCACACCCCACGGAGCCACACCCTCACCGAAGGCCTTTTTTTATAAAAGATACCCGCCCCAGGCCCCACCCACAAGGCCCCGCCCACAGCACCTCGGGAGCCACACCCCCAGCCCTTTTTTTTACATTTTAATAAAGGTACCCGCCCCAGGCCCCACCCACAAGGCCCCGCCCACAGCACCTCGGGAGCCACACCCCCAGCCCTTTTTATTACATTTTATAAAAGGTACCCGCCCCAGGCCCCGCCGCAGGTCCGCGCTCGCGTGGGCCCGGGTTCACTGGGGCACGGCTTCTGCGCAGTGTCTGCACCAGGGGGTACCGGCCCAGGCCCTGTGCGTACCATTGCGAGGCACCTGACCCGGAACAACCTTCTTGCTTCCTGCGTGAGTTCCCTCCAAAACGGACTGGAATCCACCCTGTCCCACCTCCTCTGCGGTGAGTGTGGCGCAGTCACTTGCCTCCAGCTTCCAAACCTTCCTCCTGCATTTTCCACCTTCCAAGCCTTTGCCCACGCTGTTGCCCACTGCACTGTGCCAGGCCTTTCTTCCCTCCGTGCAGATTGGATGCTCTCTCCTTTAAAACACCCGCGGGGAGAGGAAAGAACACCGGGATCCGAGTCTTAAGACTTGTGCTCCAGAGTATTGGGCTGCTGGGTGACTTTAGGCAAGTCCTTAACCTCTCTGAACTGAAGGCTCCTCCTCTGTGAAAGGGTGGTGGTAATGCCTACCTCACCAGCCTTCTTGGTATCATCTGGGAGTCAGTGTTCAACAAATAAGTGCCAAAGAACCTTTATACTCTAAGGCAAGTTTTGAAGGAAGGATAATTACTGCTTTCTTCTTTTAAACTTATTTTTCATTTTTTTCCAGCACTGGGGATTGAAACCAGGGGATTGCACAAGCTTTGAGTCAGATCTCTCTTCCTAAACCTGGTGGGTGGGACCTTTTGTTCCTTAGATTTTTGTCCCTCTTTTACTTCCACCGGTGCTTTTTGTCTGATGTTACTTTAGCCACACCAGCTCTATCTTGATCTTTATTTGCTTGGTATAACTTTTCATACTTGTGGCCATCCTGGCTTCATATATTGTAGATGTGTCAGTTGTAAACACAATATATCTGGAATTGTTTTAAAAATCTGAGCTGACATTACTGTGTTTTAAGCAGAAAGTTTAATTCATATACAAATGTATGATTATGACTTATTAATTTATTTGGTGCTGGGGTTGAACCTAAGGGATGCTTTACCACTGAGTCACATCTCCAGCCCTTTTTATTATTTTAAGCCAGGGCCTAAGTTGCTGAGGTTGACCTTGAACTTGCAACCGCCTACCTCAGCCTCCTGAGTCACTAGGATCACAGGCACGCACCACCCAGGGCAGATTCGACTCTTTTATTTTATTGTGCTTGCCAGTGGTCAAATTTCTTTTTTTTTTTTTTTGGCATTTTTAAGAAGTGATCAAGGTTTTCTTTTTTTCTTCTGTTTCCCCCCCACTACCATTACTGGGCTTGGAAACTGAGTTGAGAGAAAACCTGAATAAACTCTCTAGATGTCACCTGCTCTAAGTTACTTGCTTTGAGTTGACTGCAGATGTGTGGGTCAGGATGGTGACAGTTGATCCCCTCTAGCTGCTTTACCTGTTCTTGATTAACCTCGAGTCACTTTCCCCATGCTTCAGCCCATGAAGATCCCCCGCCCCAGCCTTGGGCAGCCAGAGTGAGATCCCGTCCCCATCTCCACATGCTTGGCTGCCTCCCGACTCTGCTTTTCCATAAAACTCCTGGCTTCAGGGATTGGCATCCTCCGTGGCGGGCAAAGTGAGCCTGGTTTGGCAACAACTGCACCTCCCCCAACCCTGCACCCCACAGCTCCTCCAAAGCCTTCCTCAGGCCCCTTCATCACTGTGTTGGCGTTCGAGCAGGGAAGGAACCGTGTCCTTATGAACAGCGTCCCATGCCGATGGCTGCAAATGGGGGTTTTGTTTTCATTCTCTTTGGAGGTTTTTGGCTCCCTGAATCTTGAGCTTTGCCCTCTCCCCTTTGAAAACGTTCTGTCGTTCTCTCTGAACGCTGCTCCCCTCCCTCAACTCCTCAGGAACCAGCACCGCGTCTCTGTGTCTCTCCCTCCAGCCAGTTTCTTGACCTCTCTTTCATTCATTCCGTCTCTGGGTGGAGTCCTCACATCTTTCAGGCCCCCGATTCTCTCCTCAGGTGTCGTCTATTCTATGAAGGAACCTAGCCATTGAGTTTCTGATTTCGATCGTTTTCCATTTTTAAAGTTCTGTTCCCTTCTTTTAAAATTCCACCGGCTTCCCAAGCTCCATATCACCACCGTCCAGCTCTGGGAGCAAGGCTCCTCTTTCTGGACCTGTCCCCAGTTTCCATGTTGTGGGCCGGGGAGCCACAGGTTCCCTGGCAGCAAGGAGGGTGCTGTCATATTGGCTCTTTTACATTCTGGATAATAGGTATTCTTCTGAAGAAAGTTTGAAATAAAACAGATTTAAAAGAAATTTAAATTATTTTTTAGGTGATAAACTTTATATGTGGTGCTGAGACTCAAACCCAGTGCCTCCCACGTGCTGGGCAAATGCTCCACCACTGAGCCACAACCCCAGCCCTATAAAACATTTTTTAAGTCACTGATCTCAGAGCTCTAAGCTCTCCTCAAGCTCAAACCTGTGATTCTGAGTTTTGATTTGGATGTTTTATGACAACCCATAGATTCTGCAGAGTCTCTGGACTACGGCTGTGCCCACACCACCAAGCACCTGGAGACCTGGACCTCAGAGCTCTGCATTGGCCAGTGAGGATAACCTCTGTTTTGCTTCCTGAAAATATCCCTGTCTTCTGAAAGCTTGTAGAAAACACTCAATAAATGTTTGTAAACTCATAATAAATGAATAGATGTTTGGATAAGCAGACAGACTGGTCACCCCCTTCCTCACTCTGAATAATTGCATGGTCATACAGGCAATGAGATGGACATTTATTAAACATTTATACACCACTTTCAAGCCTCCCTAATCCCTGAGTTATGCATTTTTTTCTATCAGGAAACTAAGGCACAGTGAGGTTCAGAGACTGTCATCTCTTATGTAGCTGGTCCCAGGGTTCATTTGGGATTTAAATCAAGGCTACAAGCTCTAGAGCCAGTTTGGAGACAGGCTGCGAGAGCTGGGACTTCTGAGCCATTCTGGAGACTCTGGAGACAGGCCGGTGGTGAGGCCTGTCCAACAGGGACAGGCAGGGACCTGCTCGGAAGCAGTTTCTCTGGCTTCATCCTGTGGTCGGCTCTACTTTATGAAAACAAGATGATGTCCAAACCGGACAAGTGACTTCAGCTCTCCAGGAGTGCATGTCACCTCTGTGTTGCTGTGACCGACCAAAGTGCTTGGTGGGAGCAACCCAGAGGAGGAAGTCTGTTTTGTGCCCAGGGTCTAGGTCCTTGGTTGGCTGACTCCACTGCTCTGGGCCCAAGGTGAGGCAGAACATCCGGGTCGGGGGAAGGGATGGCAGAGAGAAGCTGCTCAGCTCACCGCAGCTGGGAAGCAGAGGGAGGGGGAGGAGCCAGGGGCAAGACATATCCCCAAGGCATGCCCCAGTGACCCGGCCTGCAGGTACCTCGCAGTGTGCATCCTAACCATTCCTCCATCGCAGGGGTCAAGCTACAGCTCTCATGACCTAACCACCTCGCCCTGACCGTGCCTGCAGCGCAAGCGCTTTCAGGAGACCTCTTAGAGCCAGAAGACCAGCCAGAGGCGAGAGGTGACCAGAGGCTAGAGGAGTTTCCTTCCTGTGGCTGATGCTGCTAGAATGGCGGACACGGGCTGGGGTTGTGGTTCACGAGACAGCCCAGCCTCGTAGGCAGAAAGACCTGGGTTCCACCCCAGCACCTGAACAAACAAAAATTCCAGAGTTGCCCCCACCCCCAGGGCTGCCCTTGGCATGACTGAGAGAGCCCAGCTCCTGGCCCTTACCTCGGCTGGCTTCTGGGGAACCCCTCCTGAGACAGCAGGCCTCCTCGGGCCCTTCCCCCAGAGAGTGGGTCAAACTTGGGGGATGGGGACAAGGAACTGTGGTCTGTCATGTACTGTCCCCTCTGCTGCGCACAGGCTCTGCATGGGCTGCTCCTGCTGCCCAGCCAGGCCGTGCCTCCCTCTCATTCCCATGAAAGCCTGACCCACTCCTGTCAGAGAGCATGGACACTGCAGGCCTTCCTGGTCCAGGGACCCACGAGAGAAGAGGAAAGGACTGGCCTCTGAGTCCCATTCCTCTCGGCCACAGCGCCCTCCCCCAGGCCACTGCAGTCATGAAGCTGACATGTGTCTTCTAGCTCATCTTTTTACCCCTTTCTGCGTGCACACCCAAGAGCGAAACGGGCGTGCCGTGGTGTTTCAGGGGTACACCAGCGCTCTCCTGTTGCACCCGCCTTCTGCAGTCTGTTCACATCTGGGAGCAGCGGTGGCACGTGGTCAGGTTCGTTCACTGTAACTGCCAAGTGGTGTCCCAGGCGGTGAGTGGACTGTGGCCGATCCGCTGTCTCCTGACGCGCTCTTTCCAGGCTTTCATAGCCGTGGCCACCCATTGTCCCCGGGCCCCAAGCAGCCTCCCCCATCTGCCCAGAGGGCTCCTCCTTTCAGGGCTCCTGCCTCAGCCTGGATCCTCCTGATGACTCTAAGCATGCCTTCCCTGGAGAGCAGGCACCAGGGCCCCACTGTGGGCCCAAGCCCTTGCCGGGTAGAGCTGCGCCCCTCCAGAAGCCCAGGAACCTGGGCCCAGGGGACAGAAGAGCAAGCTCTTAATGGCCTCAAGTGAGGTGAGCCCTGGCCCTGGGACCCAAGGAGCTCTTGGACATGAGTTAGTCTGTGGCCAGGACACAGGGGCTGCAGGACAAGGCCACACCTTGCCTCCAGACCCAACAGTACCACTGGCTCAGGGAGCAGCTCACTGTGGACAGCGTGCTGTCACGCAGGCGTCCTGCCTGGGCCGCTCACTTTACCTGAACATCACAGTTGGCTCTGGACAGGCAAGATCAGCCCTTCCTGGGAGACACTGAAGGTACTATGGCAGAGGAGGGTTCGAGCCAACGCCAGGTCCCCTGATCCAGGTCCTGTGCACTGCCCAGCGCCTTCTCAGCTGTGGCCTTGGCCGGGCCGAGCCAAGCCGGGCTCTACCGGGTGTCCAAGGAGAAACCGCCCAGCACAGCCAGGAGATTAAGAGTGGCACAAGATGCAGCCTGGCCACGGACGTCCTCAGATCTCCATGCCTTGCTCTGCAGGCTGTGGTGGCTGCTGGGCGCTGCAGACACCTCCTGCCTCTAGGCCCGAGGCCCCGCATCAAGTGACCTGAGCACAGGACCTCAGTGCCACGCTGGATGAGGTCCGGAGCTGGGAGCGACCTGAAGTGCTCAGCATTCTGCAGAAGGATGACACAGACTTGGGGAGGCCTGGGGAGGTGGCCATCACTGGTCCTGAGAGGCCTGACCCAGCCACACCCAGGAGTGACGTGCCCCAGGGTCTCCGTGGCACAGTGGGAGGCAGAGAAAGCCAGGGTTCCAGCCTAGGGACGAGGGAGACTTGAGGGGAGGGGAGGCCTTGGAGGTTAGGACAGGTGTGTTCATGGGCTGGAAGCCACGGGGGCTCCTGGCCTCTCAGGGCACTTGATTCCAGCAGCCCCTGGGACAGGGACCAGGAGACACATTCCATGTGAGGCCCAAGGAAGGGAGTCCAAGGAAGGGAGGTTGGGGACCAGGATGTCCCGGGCACCAGGAAGGTGCTGCAGCAGGGCTGGCACGGGGGCTGCTTCAGTACCCTCGGGTGGCTTGACCTCTGCCCTCTGGGACTGCAAAGGGGTCCGCAGGTGGCTCTGGGGAGTCAATTGTCTGATAGGCACTATGTTCCTGAGAATGTCCAAGGAAATCTGGGGGCGGGGGGTGGTGGCAGGAAAGAAAAAAACAAGAGTGAGAAACTGGGAGACGTTCTGTTGATCCCAAACCAAGATCCATCCCCCGTCCAAGGCCAGGGCTGGGCATCCTGATGCCAGGGAGAGTGGACAGTGGCAGCACCTATAAGCCTCTAGCATGCCCCGGAGCAGGTGTGTTCACGGCCTCACTTTGCCGAGGAAGCAGTCAAAGACTTGCCTGAAGTCATTCAGCTCTACATCCCCGACGCTGGGCCCTGGGGCCAGCGCTCCGTCTCCAGGGCACACGCTTCCCAGAGCAGCACATGCTCAGGAATCTGAGGGACACCCAGCCTGGACCCATGGACTTCTTTCCAGTTCCTCTCCCAGGCACAGGGACACCACATCCCCGTACCCCGGCGGCTCTGGAACTGGCGCTATTGCCGCACCCAGAAAACCAGAGCTGGAGGCACCAGGCAGGGCAGCAGCCTCCGAGAGCCCCGCACGCCTCACTCCCACCCCCTCTGCACGTCTGTCCTGGGCGTTCAAGCACGTCCTAAAGGCTGGGGGCCTTGGTCTCCTTGTCTATCTCCTGGGGCAGGGCTGGGCGGTGCTGAGGTCAGTGAGGACCATTCCTACACTTGCCCAGCGCTCCCCGGGCCACCTGCACCTCTTCCCAAAGCAAAGATGGAAGCCCCCGCCTCGCCTCCACCCAGAGTGCAAAAGGAGGTGTCAGAGGGAACAGGAAAATGGCTCAGCCCCCATGGAAGAGGGGGGGAAAGGGTTTCTGGGGGTGGGGCTGGGCAGGAGGCGAGATAGCTGCCCACAGGAAGTGACTGCCATTTGGCGCTGGCTTCCCCCAGGTCCCAGCAACCCTAGCTCTCCCCGGACACCTCGAACTATCCATCAGAGAGACCCGCATGTCAGGACAGCAGGGCTGCCGGGCACAGGGGAGGAGCTCTGGAAAGTGGCTCACACCTTGCCTTGCCCGTGCTCTGCACCAAGGGAAGGCCAGCCTGAGGCTGCTGCCCCCGACCCTGTGAAGCCCGACAGCGAGGAGACCACCCCAGACTGTGATGGCCGTGGCCCAGGAGCAGCGACCAGGGAAGTGCACACCCAGCCTGGTGGGGAGCCACACCACACTCCTGCCTGCGCTGGAGCCCCAGGCCCGTGGGCAAGGGCCACAGCAGGGGGAGTTGGGGCGGCTGGAGGCAGGCTCACCGTGGGACAGGAGGTTGCCCCCACGCTCCCGGTACATGTGGTAGACCAGGAAGCAGGAGAAGGGCTTGAGCAGCAGGCTGAGGATGGCCATGCCGGCGCTGAAGCGGCCTGTGTCCGAGGTGGCGACCAGTGGGTAGAAGACACTGATGTGGATGATGTCCAGTAAGATGGTGGCCATCAAGCCCCCCAGGAACTGCAAGACACACAGCCACAGGTTTGGGGGCACTGCCCGGCCCCCTCAGACACGCGGCTCCTCCTCTGCACACACCAGCCCAGAAGCCTGGCTCCTGCCCTCTGCTCCTCGGGCTTTGCTGTAGAGATGTCAGGCCAGCAGGCAGGACCTGGAGGGGAGCAGAGCCGCCCGCCTGCAGCCTGCAGGGCTTCGGAGAGGACACTGGGGAGGCGCCAGCAGTGCCACTCCACCTCCCCAGGCCGCGACGGGGTCAAAGACTTGGTCTAAACCTCCAAGTTGGAAGATCCCTTGGAGCTCCTGGACACATGGCCGCCACAAAGGAACCCTTCTCTACCACTGAGAGGCTGCGGCCCCGCGGGAAGAGCTGGGGGGAAAAAGCTGGGGCGGGGCTGGTGGGGGCTGGGTCAATTCTAACTTCAGTACAGAAGTGGAGCTCCCTCCTGGCCAGGTCTCCCAGCCACCTTCCCTCTCCCCACAAGGCTCCTGCGTGAGGCAATGCAAGGCGGCTTAGAAGTGCCGTGACTGGGTCAGGAGGCCCTCACCCAATCAGGGCGCTAACCCCTAGAGTGGTAACTGGAGGCCCTAGAGTGTGGCAGGAGGGGGTGGG